CAGCTTATTGCCAATAAATATTACAGATAGGATACAGCCAGTTCCTTTGTGTACTTCAAACTGCAAAGGGCCCTTCAGGAATTAATGTGTTAAATCCCAACACATGGTTAACTGTACCGCACTTCTTCCTAGTAGTGAGGCTGCCATATGGCTAACTAAGGCCTCTCCTGGGTTAGTGAAATATGCAAGTTCTGTTTATACCAAGAAGGACCAAGCTGAACTTAGCAGCTGTGACAAGCAAACACGCTGCAAACAGAAATCAGTCAGTGCTCACTGAAATGAGCTCACTTAGATACACCAGTAAATTCATATAGTACAAGACAGATGGTGACAAGATGGGTTTCATATTGCTGAACAGGGGACAACCCCACAAAGACTTCAAGGGAGGAGAGCAAACTGCTGGTGAGCTTGAGTTCAGAGGTTGTGCTTCTCCAATGGCTCAGTGAGTTTATCCAGTCTCCAGTCAGCAGCTGAGCTGCACAGTTATGTGGAACAGAGTCCCAACACAAATAATAATAATTTGGTCACTCAACCCACGACTGTTTGTGGGACACTGCTGTGCGCAATTGTCTGCTGCATTTCGCCCACAAAATATACTGTCAATTCACTTTACAGTATATTCTGTGGAGTGCTTTGAGGCGTCTTGAAGACGTGATAAGGCAGGCACTACATCAAATGCAAGGAGTATTATTATTATTAACACAAGCAGGCAATGCAGAGTGAGTGAAATCCTTTAGATAAAAAAAGGGAAAGTATTTATCTACTGGAGATCAGCAATAACAATATTTGCGTTTGACACACAGTTTATTATGTCGTTGAGATGCCCCAAAGCTCTTCACAGAATATATTGTAAAGTGTAGTGACCTCTAAGAATTCAAGTAAACGTATGTTGCTACCCTCCTCCTGGCTAGTGACTGAGCAGATGGTGACTGTGTATTTTCTCAGAGAGAAACGGCAACTAAATTGTTCTCAGCAATATCCCACAAACAGCTGTGGAGTGAATTTCCAGATAATATCTCATGGTCTCAAAGGACGCCACTTCCAAGAATGCAGCATACCCCTAGTGCTGCTCCAGAGTATCAGCCTAGATAATCCTTGCATTTGATGTAGCGCCTTACTACATCTTTGAGACGTCTCAAAGCGCTTCACAGAAAATACTGCAAAGTGAATTGACTGTATATTTTGTGGGCAAAATGCAGCAGCCAATTGCACACAGCAGATGAGTTCCAAGTCCCAACATGTGGCTTGAACCCACAACGTTCTGACTCAAGAGAGAGTGCTACCAACTGTGTCAGGTTGACACACATCTGATGAATGATATTCAATCTTGTATAAACCAGGGGGAATGAGCTTGTGACCAGCACAATACACAGTAATAATACTTAATTGACGCACTGAGGTATGGTGTAAAGAATAAAAGGTCCCTTACCTTTCCTGCATCTGACTGGGCAATTTTCCAGAGTTAATCATGTGAGCTAGTAATAGTCATCCGAAATACAAAATTCTAGGAAGTATCATTATGTTTGCAGCACGTGTCAAAGAAGGCAAGCAGATAAAGACAAGAACCTCAGGCACGAATGAAAAGAAATGTAGTTCCATTTAAGGTTTGGCATAACTGAAGCTCTGGTCCACACATATAAACACATTAGAGACCAAGCTCTCTACTTACCAAACTGCAGCTAGCCCTCCAAGTAACAGAAAAAGCAATGCGAATGTTAATACTTTGAGCGCTTTCAATGACAAGCTGTGTGGGTTTAGTTGGTTAAACTCTAGCAGTACCCAAAGCACTCCCTGGGATCCTAAAGCCTTGCCTCTCACCAGCCTGATGCTCCCCAGATTTAGGAAAGCAGGAAGCGTCCCTTCAGGGAAAGAGTACGCATTCCATTCCAGATACGGGAATTTCCATGTGTAGGTGGGATCCACAGAACTCTCCATTTGGATTGGATACCCTCAAGCATAGTGATGCGTTTCCTCATGTGTCAGACATCCTGGGTTAGTACTGTACGTTGCCGGTTCAACTCTTGGATTTTGAGGTTAAATCCAGCCCAGTGTGGAAGGATGATAGATAGTTTAGAAAAGGTCTTGTTGAAACTCAGTATTTGTCAAATGTGCACAGCACAAGACTGGCTATAGTTCAGCCCACTTCTGCATTGAACTTGAGGTCAGACACATTTCATGAAGAAACTGAGCCAAGCTGGTCCCTGACACTGATAAAGCTGAGAAACGCTGCTTTATTCTAACTGAGCACAATTCAGCAATTTATGTAGCATTCAACTGGCCCAGAATCATGGCCAGTGCTGTTGTGTTATTGTACAGAGCCAAGTATCAGTAAAATTAAAAGCGATTCAGCAGCCAACTTTCTGGCTCCACACCCCCCCACCCTCCCCTTCCCGATTAGGAAGTGAGCACAACAGCCAGTGGCCACAATCCAAAAACTCAACATTTAGCAATATCTAATAAGACCTTTGACACATGGGAGATCAAGTGAATTGTCGTCAACTCTTGCTCACCATCTTCTGCGCGTGAAAGAATACCAGCAGCACATCAGCAAAACCCTCTATTATAGTTATTCCATACAGCATTACAGGATTCACTTTACGCACTATATCGAATGCAAGGATTATTATTATTATTATTATTATTAAAGAAAAGTTATTCCAACTACTTTGCAAGCTGGAACTCAATATTTATTGTTTTTTTAAAAACAATGTTATTTCAGTGCAACATTTGGTGAAACACACATCAAATAACGACAACAATTTATGTTTCAGCCTTTCACGCCAGGAAGACGTGTCTCAAAATGCTTCATGAGGCTGACTGGGAGCCTGAGCTGGGAGGAGGGAGAAATGTGACCGAAGGCACGGTTGAAAAAATAGGTCATTTGATCACCGACATCAACAAAACAAAACAAACCAGAAGCTAATTGTAAACCAAACAAAACGGACCAGACTGAAAGACGGACGGACGGACAGATACATACAGTCGAGATGCATTCCGCTTGCAAACTATGACCTTAGCCCCAAACCACTCAACAATAACAAGCTCACACTGAAATAGAGCCCTTCACGCGGGTTGTGTCCAGGAGCTTAACAGTGGCGGAGCTTAACGTGGAGCCGAGAGAGAGAGAGCGGAGGTGCCCCCCACACCTGACCTTATTTCCCTCCCCACCAGGCGCGCACACACACACACACACACATGCCACAGAGTCAAAGAGTATTATTTGGAGGGAAGGAGAGGACTTGAAACAAGAGCAGGAGACCTTTAGGACCCAGAGAGAGAGAGAGAGAGAGAGCTGCACAGTGGTACGCAACAACTTGCATGAAATTGCCTAAGTGTGTGTGTTGTGGGTTCGCCCCCACCCACAACCCCCTCCTCTCCCCCCAAAAAAATTTTTTTTTAAAAAATAAACTTTTCTTGCAAAAAAAAGCAAAGAGTTTTGCAAACAGTGCGGGGGCTCCGGGGGTGGGGGTGGGGGGGGGGGGAGCTGGGCTGACAATTCCGGAGATGTGTCTCACTTTCTCAACAATAACATAAACAAAAAAGACAGATCAAGTTTACCAGAGGTGCTCAGCCCTCCAACACCAGCCCCCCCCCCCCCACCAGCCCCCCCCCCCCCACACCAGCCCCCCCCACACCAGCCCCCCCCCACCAGCCCCCCCCACCCAGCCCCCCCCCCCCCCCACCAGCCCCCCCCCCCCACACCAGCCCCCCCCCCACACCAGCCCACCCCCCCCCCACACCAGCCCCCCCCCCCACACCAGCCCCCCCCCCCCCACACCAGCCCCCCCCCCCCCCACCAGCCCCCCCCCCCGACACCAGCCCCCCCCCCACACCAGCCCCCCCCCCCACCGCCCCCCCCCACACCAGCCCCCCCCCCCCACCAGCCCCCCCCCACACCAGCCCCCCCCCACCAGCCCCCCCCACACCAGCCCCCCCCCCCCCCCACACCAGCCCCCCCCCCACACCAGCCCCCCCCCCACACCAGCCCCCCCCCCACACCAGCCCCCCCCACACCAGCCCCCCCCCCCCCCCACACCAGCCCTCCCAACACCAACCCCCCCCCACACCAGCCCCCCCCCCAACACCATCCCCCCCAACACCATCCCCCCCCAACACCAGCCCCCCCCCACACCAGCCCCCCACACCAACCCCCAACACACAACCCCCCACACACCCCCCAGCACACAGCCCCCCACACCAGACCCCAACACCACCCCCCAGCACACAGCCCCCCAGCACACAGCCCCCAGCCCCCAGGACCCCCAGCCCCAGCCCCCAGGACCCCCAGCCCAGCCCCCCCCAGCCCCAGCCCCCAGGACCCCCAGCCCCAGGACCCCCCCAGCCCCAGGACCCCCAGTCCCAGCCCCCAGGACCCCCCAGCCCCAGCCCCCCCCAGCCCCAGCCCCCAGGACCCCCCAGCCCCCCCAGTCCCAGCCCCCAGGACCCCCCAGCCCCAGCCCCCCCCAGCCCCAGCCCCCAGGACCCCCCAGCCCCAGCCCCCAGGACCCCCAGCCCCAGCCCCCAGGACCCCCCAGCCCCAGCCCCCAGGACCCCCCAGCCCCAGCCCCCAGGACCTCCCAGCCCCAGCCCCCAGGACCCCCCAGCCCCAGCCCCAGGACCCCCAGGACCCCCCAGCCCCAGCCCCCAGGACCCCCCAGCCCCAGGACCCCCAGCCCCAGCCCCCAGGACCCCCAGCCCCAGCCCCCCCAGGACCCCCCAGCCCCCCAGCCCCAGCCCCCAGGACCCCCCAGCCCCAGCCCCCAGGACCCCCCAGCCCCAGCCCCCAGGACCCCCCAGCCCCCAGGCCCCAGCCCCCAGGACCCCCCAGCCCCAGCCCCCAGGACCCCCCCAGCCCCAGCCCCCAGGACCCCCCAGCCCCAGCCCCCCCCCCCCCAGGACCCCCCAGCCCCAGCCCCCAGGACCCCCCAGCCCCAGCCCCCAGGACCCCCAGCCCCAGCCCCCAGCCCCAGCCCCCAGGACCCCCCAGCCCCCAGCCTCACCTGTGCTCAGATTATCGTTGATCTTCAGGGGGACCCGCAGGATGTAAACGAGGAAAAGCATCAGGAAAAACCACAGGGTCCACAAGTAGGTCCAGGACCAGACGATGCAGGATTTGAGCTGCTCCAGGAAGCCCGTCCCCACCTCAGCCATGTTTCAGCTGCTGCTGCTGTCAGATCACAGGCTCTCAGTGTATTGTGGGATCAGAGACCTGCCTCCCCACCCAGGAGAGCCGACCGGCCACTGCAGCTCACTCACTCACTCACACAGAGAGGGGAGGGGGGGGGACTCACTCACACAGAGAGGGGGGAGAGCTTCATACAATGCACAGAGAGGGGGAGCGTGAGAGCTGCTTCCAGTGCCCACAGAGAGTGTGTGAGAGCTGCACACAGTGCCCACAGAGAGTGTGTGAGAGCTGCACACAGTGCACACAGAGAGTGTGTGAGAGCTGGACACAGTGCACACAGAGTGTGTGAGAGCTGCACACAGTGCACACAGAGAGTGTGTGAGAGCTGCACACAGTGCCCACAGAGAGTGTGTGAGAGCTGCACACAGTGCCCACAGAGTGTGTGAGAGCTGCACACAGAGAGTGTGTGAGAGCTGCACACAGTGCCCACAGAGAGTGTGTGAGAGCTGCACACAGTGCCCACAGAGAGTGTGTGAGAGCTGCACACAGAGAGTGTGTGAGAGCTGCACACAGTGCCCACAGAGAGTGTGTGAGAGCTGCACACAGTGCCCACAGAGAGTGTGTGAGAGCCGCACACAGTGCACACTGAGAGTGTGTGAGAGCTGCACACAGTGCACACAGAGAGTGTGTGAGAGCTGCACACAGTGCACACAGTGTGTGAAAGCTGCATACAGTGCACAGAGAGTGTGTGAGAGCTGCACACAGTGCCCACAGAGAGTGTGTGAGAGCTGCACACAGTGCCCACAGAGAGTGTGTGAGAGCTGCACACAGTGCCCACAGAGAGTGTGTGAGAGCTGCACACAGAGAGTGTGTGAGAGTTGCACACAGAGAGTGTGTGAGAGCTGCACACAGTGCACACAGAGTGTGTGAGAGCTGCACAGTGCACACAGTGCACACAGAGTGTGTGAGAGCTGCACACAGTGCACAGAGTGTGTGAGAGCTGCACACAGTGCACACAGAGTGTGAGAGCTGCACACAGTGCACACAGAGAGTGTGAGAGCTGCATACAGTGCACAGAGTGTGTGAGAGCTGCATACAGTGCACACAGAGTGTGTGAGAGCTGCATACAGTGCCCACAGAGTGTGTGAGAGCTGCACAGTGCACAGAGTGTGTGAGAGCTGCACACAGTGCCCACAGAGTGTGTGAGAGCTGCATACAGTGCACACAGAGTGTGTGTGAGAGCTGCATACAGTGCACACAGTGTGTGTGAGAGCTGCACACAGTGAGTGTGAGAGCTGCTTACAGTGCACACAGAGGGAGTGTGAGAGCTACTTACAGTGCACAGAGAGAGGGATTGTGAGAGCTGCTTACAGTGCACACAGAGGGAGTGTGAGAGCTACTTACAGTGCACACAGAGAGAGGGAGTGTGAGCTGCTTACAATGCACAGACAGAGGGAGTGTGAGAGCTGCTTACAGTACAGAGAGAGGGAGTGTGAGCTGCTTACAGTGCACACAGAGGAGTCATAACAATCAACTGCACACAGGGAGGAAGCTGATTCAGTGCACAGAGGGAGTGCACACAGAGAGGGAGTGTGAGAGCTGCTCTGCTCTACAATGTACACAGAGAGGGAGTGAGATAACTAAGGGAAATGCATCAAAATTGACACAGAGCTGCATACAGAGCACAGAATGCTACAGATGCAGTGTATAGAGAGCAAAACATACTGATTAGAGAGTGCTGTATATATACAATAAGCGTTGCACATACAACAACAACTTGGATTTTTATAGCGCCCTCCACGCCGGACGGCGTCTCAGAGCACTTCACAGTAATGGATCCCGTGGCTGAGCCAGGGGAGGAAGGTGACCAAAGGTGCTGTCGAAAAGTGTACAGTGAACAGTGATGCAGATACAGTATATAGAGTGAGAGTTGACCATAATGATTAGAGATCTGCCTATACAGTGTACAGAGTGAGAATTGCACATACAGTGAACATTGTGCTGCACATAATAATACTTTCATTTGATATCTTCACTTCTCAAGGAACTTCACAAACATACTGAAAAGTGAATTGACTGCATATTCTGTGGGCAACATGGGCAGCCAATTGAACACAGTGGTGTCCCACAAACAGTCCAAATTGAGTAACTAAATTATATTTGAAAATGTATTTTTTTGAAGGGATTATTGCCTCCAGAAAGGCGATCTACCAATCAACTAACTTACTTAGGGTTCCTACTTACTGCTAGGTAAACAGAGGGGTGTGGAATAAGGAAACTTGCCTCATGTTTTGCCCTGCCTGGGAATCCGGGAATCGAACCCTGGTCCTCTTGCTTGCAAAGCGAGTGCTCTAACCAATATGCTACAGTACTCCACATTGAAGTTGCGGCTTCTACCACATAGAATGAAGAAGCTGCAACTTCACACAGACACAGAGAGGGAGCTGTAGCTTCACATATGCAACAGCATTAAAAAAATCTTTTAAGTTCCAGATGCTCTACTCGCTCATCTGCATGGTATAGTGATTCATGCCCCTGCCCACTCCACCTCACAATCAGCCACTTTGCCCCCTCCCTCTGGAATTCTCTTCATAAATCCTTTCGCTGCACCCCTCCCTTTCTGCTTTCAAATCTTGCTGGAAGATTCATCTCTTTGACTGCATTTTTGGCAACCTCTCCCAACTCCGCTCCTGCTCAGCCATTGTAAAGTGCTTCAAGACTTTTTTTCCCCCAACATAAAAGTCTATGTAAAGAATAAATTGTTGTTGAAACAAATTATATCCAGGAATTATGACCCGTTAACATTGCCATGTTTTATTCATATAGTTCTGTTTATTTTATGTATGTGAATTATAAATGAAAGGTTATAAAAAAATTCAAAAGTTATCAGGAACGAAACACAATTTATTGTAATAATGAGCTGATGTTAGTATGTGTGTTGAGCAGAGATAATCTCTAAAGTGCTCCACTGGCAATATCATTAACCCTGTCGGTCTAACAAAAGTTTATTTCACCCGCTGGCTGGCACAGCTTTCTTTTACTTCACAATAACAAAACACGGGAGAATTAATTATATAGCTATAACAAACTTCTGTTTTACAGTACATTCAGCCTCTGTTATTTATTATCTGTACACCTCTAATAGTTGTACAGTTAACATTTCAAAAAATTGTGAACACGTAACTTCCTCATTGTAGTGGTGGCTGACATTCACAGAGTATTGTACTCTTTTGGAAAGTGATTACTGCTAAGAAGCTGTGGCATTCTCAGCACCCATGGAAATGTTTTATAAAACCCTTCATATTTGTAAACTGAGCACACAGTGATACATTTGGTATCAGACTGCAAAAGTAATTTACAGTCATTCAAATGTAATGTAAACAAAAGGGATTTACACTTCAATTTAAATTCGATGTTAACAAAGGAATTGGAGTTTGTGCGGCAGTTGATATATTGACTGCTGTGCAGTTTTCCCTGGTGCCCAACAGGGAGCCTTTGACTTGTTTACAGAATAAACTATTCAAGATACTTGGCCCCCCTGAAAGCTTCCCAATACAGTAATAATATTGCTTTAAATAGAGTCTTACGTGATGATCTGTTATTTTTGGAGACTGCTCTCGCCAGTGGAATCTGCTGAACTTGTGACATAAATCAGTGTCCCCTACCAGAATTGCTGCCAAGGTACTGTGGGAACGAATGCTTCTTTGTACATCTCATAGCATTAACCAACCATTGCTTAATACAAGTCATAAAGTGAGGAAGTGCCATTCGGCCCATCAAGGCCGCTCCTCCCATGGAAATGGACCTGCGCAAAATTGGCTGTTGCATTTGCCTGCAAGTACAGTTCCAAAAACCCCTGACTGTCCAGCACCCTGGGACATCTTTCCGATGTGAAGGGTGCTATACAAGTGTCATTTGTTGTTGTACTACAGTTTAGTAAAATTCTGTGAAGTGCTGCGAGATGTCCTCCTGACATGAAGGGTGCTATGCCAAATGCAAGTATTATTATTACTCTGTCACAAGGAATGAATATCAGTATTGATATTCTCTCCTCAGACAAAGCATCTTCTTGTTGAGCAAATGGTTGAAATGCCAGATAGACAATTGGATAATAATTAATCATATAAGCTGCTCATGCTTTTTCAAGCTCCTTTGTCAGGGCCCAACTCTTACTAACATACAGCGAGTTACAATCCAGGATTGATCTGCTGAGTCATTTCTATTTGAACCAAAGTAAATGAGGTAATCAACTTCTTCACTTCATGACTTCACTGCGGAGTCTAAGATATTTGTCACAAGCAGTAGTTTGTGGTAAGCATGTTTTCTAATGTTTACCGTTGAGCTGATCAGGATCAGCAAGATGCTGTTAGCGCCATTGCAGTTTGATTATTTCTCTGCATCGACACCGGGGCTCATAACTGCTGATTTTGGAGCATGTTGTGTGCCAATTCATAATATTCAGTGTAATGTGCTCCAAGTCTTGCAGTGGCCTTACTGGTGACAAGGATAGCAACTTGACAAATTAGGGATTGTAGGTCCCCAAAACTGTTCCATTGTCTGGGGAAGTGCATTGCCTTCCTTTGTTCCCATTTAGGGAACTAGCTGTCTATCTACCTCCATCAACTCGCTGTAAAAATACATCTGTGAACTGGAATTACCCAACTAGAAAGCTTTTATCTTCACCGCATTTTGGACATTATCAGCAGCATACAGTTTATGTCTTTACAACACTGACCTCTGAGTTCTGGCGCTGATAACTGACAGGAACCAGAATCCAAATTGTGGGGTGCTGCAACTCAAAAGATTATGTTACTCAAAAAGCAAGTTGATGCTTAGACCCACACTTCTTACATCTAGGTTTGACTACGACAACTCCTTACTTGTCAACCTTCCCAACTCTTCCCTCCACAGGCTGCAGATCAGCATGAACTCTGCAGCTCATGTCCTCTCCCGCTCCAGACTCCGTGACCCTATCAATCCCACCCTCGCCCGGCTCCACTGGATACTCCACTCCATCTTCCTGGGGGATTCAGTTCAAAATCCTCATCCTCACCTTCAAAGCCCTCCATCACCTTGTTCCTTCCTACCTCTGTGACTTGCTAACCCCATATCGACCTATCCGCTCCCTCCACTCAGCAGTCTGCTCCATATCCCCCGTCCAGCCTGCACTACCATCGGCGGTTGGTCCTTCAGTCTCTCTGCCCCACCCTTTGGAATTCTGTCCCACAATCCCTTCACCTCTCTCCCTTCCTTGCCTCCTTCAAGACCCTCTCTTCGACTATGCCTTCCACCATTCCCCTACCCCTATCTTTCCTGCCCTCCAGCCCTCCTGATTCCCTGCTCGGGTCCAAATCCAACGTCTTGGGTTGTCCTCCCAACGTGAAAGCTTCTATTGAATTTTAATTTGTTGTTGTTCTGAAAATGTGGTAATTGATAGGTTGCACAAGCCAATGCCACTTCATTTACAAAGCTGCCAACATTTTCAAGATCAGTACACCATTTTTTTCCCCCTCATTCAGATATTAAAAGCCTGAAAGATCATTTAACTGGAATAGATTCCAGTCATTTGGAAAGGCTTGGGGAGGTTGGGAATGTGAAAAGGTACAAATCACTTGTTAAATTCTGCGACTTTCCATAGCAACTTCACCATTGCAGGCACATGGGCTTCATTTCTTTCCTCCATGTCCTTCATTCCATGCCATTTATTCATTCTACATGTATTCAAGTGTTCATCCAATTTGTTTTTAAAGAGGTGCTTTGCTTTGTTTCAAAGCCACCTTCAGCAAGACTCTCTGCATCTTACCAACTCCTATTAAAAAATGCTCACTTCTGGAGAAAGCATAAGAGACTGAAAAGGCAAATTTTCGTAATTCTGTAATATAAAGCTTTAAAAAGTTTTATGCATTATATATAGAGAGAATTGTAATTACAATAGCCTCAGTAATTAATTAGCACAGAAGAAATCTTTCAGGTGACAAATTTGAGAATATTCTGAAGATAATTTTATTTTCTGTTGGATTATTAAAGGGAAAAACTATCTGTTTGTGTCTGAACATGCTTAGATGCACATCTCAAAGTATGGTCACACCTCTGCACATTCTTGTGCCTCAAGTAATACATAGGGTTGCCAGCTGATACGTTTGTTCTTTGAATAAGCTCAACATGTACAGACAAAAGCAAACATTTGTGGTATCAGTCCGTGATAAATTAATAGTTGCCACATAGCTTTTGAGTGCCTTCTTCAAATTAACCTTTTCATGTTAAGTAAAGCAGACCCATTGGCTCAGTTGGTAAAACTCTAAGAGTTAAAACCTAGTTTTGAAGAAATGGAAGATCCAATTGGTAGAGTTCAGCTATCAGACTACATCTGATCTATGCAGCGCAGAGCTAGAGAAGTAAAAGAATTAGCCAGGTTTCGTGCTCCTAATTCCTATCAAGCGTGGATGCCTTGTGGCTATAGAGGTAATACATTGAGGGTAGATAGTGAATACAGAACGCTTCTCATTTTAGGAAAGCCTCAATAAAAATATATTTAGCATGATCAGGGGAATATGAAAACACAAATTCAAGTGGTTTCTTCAGCCATCTACAGATTAACATTTTGTACATTTACATAGGAACATAAAATGCACAGGACTAGAAAAAAAACATGGCTGTTATGGTAAATGAATTGCAGTTGCCACCCACAGCCAAAATAATTGCATTTAAGATTACAAAAAATAATCTTGACGGCTTTTGTGCTGTAAATTGGGAATGCTTATGACCAACTCAAATATTGAGACCATGTAGTGCTAGTTATATTGTGACAGTGCTGAGCACATTCTTAGTCATTCATGCATAAAATTCCCTTAGCCAGAGATTTTAAGAGTAGGAAATAAAAAGCCATTTCCTGCTCTAAATCTTTGGAAGGAATATCCCTCCAGTAGGATAAATAAGGTATTAATCTCCTGCTCTTTCAAAGTACCCAGTTACAGGAAACAATCAAGATTATAATTTAGCTTTGCTAAAGGTCAATGTCAGGACCAGGCTGAAGAAGAAGAATGTAATGCAATGTTGGGATCATAAAGTCCCAAACCCATTCTTTGAAATCAGTTTCAAGAAGTCAGCACTTGATTGCTGTAACTAAAATGGTTAATTTCTCCTTGTCAAACTGTCCATTTGTCAGTGATCATTGATAAATAACAATAAAATGTACAATAAACAAGATGTCACTATACAAAAGTGTATTTGTTGTACCTGTATTCCTGTATTAGTTGCTGCTAAAGCGTACAGGCATTTGAATTAAGATTCCACATTTACATTTGAGACTAAATTGGGAGAACATTAAGTTTACCATTAGAAATGATCACAGTTTATGCTCTTTAATTAAGTACTGGAATAATATTGTAAAATATACAAATGAACGTGTGCGAGTATGAAGAGTCTTATTTAGATTTGTACATTGTGTTTTAGAAGCACTGCGAATGCCCTGTATTAATTTCAGTAGTCACTGTAGGAGTTACTGATCTCTAAAATATATACAAAACATTGGATTTAATTGCAACATGAAGGCACAATACACTTGACCGAAAAGGGAAAATAAACAAGCTGACACAGAAATTACTGAATACAGGTTTATATTACAATTCTGGTACAGTTGTGTCTGCTTCATAAAAAATAATTCATGGGTAACTTTAATACACAGCTCATTGAAGGAGTTTATGTGGGCACAAAGCATTAACTGCATTTTGTGTATATTCTTTGCAAAAAATATTAACTACATCTGAGTCAGTGCCATGTCAGTAAAGCATTAACATTACTAACCACATTAAATTATTTACCCATCAATTCTTGGTGAATTTCTGCCCACATAATTTTGCCCTTTAAATATAATAACCACCTCTCTATAAAGAAGGCAAGTTCAGAAATTAATGTGGAAGTAACTGCTATCTATGAAGGGATACATTTTAAATAGAAACAATTAGTAACTATTCTTCTAAATAAAGGAATGGGGAAGAAATAGATCCTTAGCCAACATATTTGCCACTAAGCAAGAACAGGTTATAATTATTCTTCCACACACAAAAAGAGTAAAAGGCATGGTCTCACCATGTAAACGTAAATATGGCAACTAAACACATGATGGCTGTATCAAGTCATATTTTACAAAGTCGACATACATTATAGTGGAATCAACCACCAAGTGAATAAAATAAAATTCGAACTATTTTAGTACAAATTGTTAGAAAGAGAAAATGTCATCCTATGCAGGCTGAATTGAATAAAGAACTGCTAATGATGTTCAACTTAAGTGTATTTTAAAAAAAGGGTTCTATGAGGCAATCTCCCAAATTATTTGTGCATGTAATTCATAAAGTTCACAGTTGTGAGACCAGACCTTTTTAAAAACAGACACTAAACGTATCCAGTCACGCAAAATTTCCTTTAAATATTTTGCATTTCCTTGCCAATCTTGTAGCCCAGGATTCTATTCCAATCAACCTTAGTGCGTATGACTGGCAGCCATCGACGCAAGGCTTTAAATGTGGTGTCCGACATAGTCTGATAGTTCTCACTGATGGCCATCTGGGAGGGGGAAGGAAGAAAGAGACATTCAGCATATGATAAGGAAGAACAAGCGCTCTGAGACGCTACTCTGCGTGAAGGGCGCTATATAAATGCAAGTTATTGTTGAACAAATGCTGCAAGCAAACAATCAGCTAGGAACTCTTGAAAGACTGCTGAGTGAACCAGACACCTCAGTTTAAATTAGCCAACTTGCAAAATGCATTAGGTTTGGAAGGAGAGAGAAAGGGGGGGAGGGAGAAAGACCACACAGTGTACTAGTTTGTGTACTAGTCTCGTAAACAAAGATCTCATTCTATAGAGCAAAATAAACTAAATATGATGCCTTACATAATCCTTCCAGTACATCCTCTCCACAAGCCAGTGCCTACACTTCTTTATATGGACCATGGTTTACATGGTCCATTTCATAGCTTGGAGCGTTAAAATCTATCAGCAATTCTGTTTACCAATTTGTCTTCATAATTAATGCTAAAACAAAATGACCTGCCTTTCATCAAATACAGCAACTACAATTAACTCTCAGTCTGAACATATTTTGAGTGGCCTTGGATTGTGAATCAGCATGCCTGAACTGTCAGAACAAGCCTGCATTGTATGCCTTCTTTCATTTTGAAATCATTTCATTGCTTAACTTCAACTACAAAACTGTAGCCTGAAAAGCAAGCCAAAAAGAAAGCGGCTCAACTAAATCACATCAAATCATCCATCCGAGACCCGAGAGAATGGGGACCAAGAAAGCAGTCTTTATTAACAAGATAAAGTAATGCTCACTTTTAGGTGCAACATTTCTTTATCTTAATGTACACTTCATATTTGCATGGTCGAGTTGAAATTAAAAAATGTACAAAGTTGAAGGAGGCAGTTAAGCAGATAGATACAGGCACAACAGATGGATTTTAATGTTGCTAAATGTATGGGAATGCCTCATTAAAACAGCAAATTGCAAAGGTGTAGGCAATTGAGGATTTTCAATTAGCAAAGGAGGAAAAACATTCGGTTGCAATAATTTCACAGGAGCACAAGCGAGGTCCAGACAAGGAGGCCCTTCGGCCCCTTTGATCTCATCCTTCTAGGATATCGATTCAACTTTTCCAATGCTGTTCACCTCCTCAGCTCCAGACCATCCAGAACAACCCACGTATGCTAGATCATCCCAATCCTTGTCTGGCTCCCTATCTCACATCAGTTAAACTTTAAGATTCTCACCCTGACTCTCGAATGCCTTGCATTGCTTTGTCTCCCCCCAACTCTGCAATCTCCCAGCTACTCCCTCCACTCAGCCAACTCTACTCTCGTTAAAAATACCTCTGCCTTGCCTCTACCCGTCTGTTTTATAAACCCATCTAAAGAATTCTTGGATTGTACCTTTAGCCACCTCCCTTAATGCTCCCATCTTTTTCCCAGCTCAAGTTCCCTCTCAAAAGTGCTTGGGAGAAACTATCTATGTGAAAGATGTTCACCTCCCCAGTTTCCCAGTGCAAACTACTGCTGCTGTTGTGTATGTCCTGAAATTGCCAGTTGCTATCCTGAACTTGTGAATTTGTCATGCTCTGAAAATTTCCAGTCAATGTAAAGCAGTGATCAATGTTAATCATCTCAATGGCATCCAACTAAAAGATAAACAAAAGTAATTTTTCTATAAAAAAGCAGCGAAGCAGATTTAGAATACTGAATGCAGATTTGGGCACCTACCTTGAAATAGACATTATAATAATATAATAATAATCCTTGCATTTGATATAGCGCTTTTCACGTCTTCGAGACGTTTCAAAGCGCTTCACAGAATATGCTGTAAAGTGAATTGACTGTATATTTGTGGGCGAAACGCGGCAGCCAATTGCGCACAGCAGTGTCCCACAAACAGTCGTGGATTGAAAATGGCCAATTTATTATTGTTTTGGAGGGATTAGTATTAGGCGTCTGGAGTAAGGAAACTTGCCCAAGGTTTCACTCTGCCTGGAATTGAACCCAGGCCTCTCGCTTACATTGATACACTGGAAAGGAATCGGTGAAAACAGACCATCCAGTACTAAAATGATTTTAGGGGGCACTTAGGTCTTTCAATGCTGATTTCTAGTTATAGATAAAAGCAGGCTACTTGACTTCACTTGGATTATAAAACTAGAGGGCACATGTTTAAAATGAACATGCCTCAGCAAATACATCATTTCTACCCACAACGTGGCAAGCATGTGGAATGAACTCTGTTAACCACTTTAAAAGAGACAAATAGATATTAGATTGGAAATAATAAATAGAGTCATGTAGCTCAGTGATTAGAGCACTTGCTTTGCAAGCGAGAGACCTGGGTTCAATTCCCAGCAGGGTGAAACCTTGGGTAAGTTTCCTTACTCCACAAGCCTGATAATAATCCCTCCAAAAAAAATAAAAAATTGGTCATTTCAATCCACGACTGTTTGTGGGACGCTGCTGTGCGCAATTGGCTGCCGACATTTCGCCCACAAATATACATTCAATTCAGTCTATTCTGTGAAGTGCTTCGAGACGTCTAGAAGACGTGAAAAGCGCTATATCAAATGCAAGGACTATTATTATTATTGTAGGCGTACATTTGTAAATCCAGAGAAACACTTAAATAACTATAAAATACAACAGGCTAATCTCAAAAGGTAGATTACAAGCAAATTAAAGTAGTTTAACAGTTAGGTTTATTCCTTTCCTTCAACTGAATATTTCTCACTTGACAAATTAGCATGCTTGAGGCACCCAAAACATTTGTGTATTAAATATATTTACTTATCATTGCATACAAACACAGAATCAGAATACCGTTCGACCATCAAAATAATCCGCCCAAAAGTTAACTAGCATGATTATTATTCATTCAAGCATTCATACCTGGTATCCATTTTCTACTGATTCTATAAGTTTTGTAAACTCTTTTGCCATCTGAGCTTCATTCTGCAAAAAGAAAAGGAACATGTCACAAAAGTAAAATCTCAAATCCAATTAAGATGAAAGACTCCTCCTTCTCCCTCCCTCCCTCATAGGACATCACTTGTACACAGATAAGGGTGAAACAAACCAACCACATGGACTTTCATTACGTTTAAAATTCTTATCAGTTAATAAAGATAAGTGCCGCACCCAGAAATCTGGCAAATTTAAATCTATTGTGGAATATAGGTCAAATGGTATAGTTTTGCATTAAATAGGTTAAATCAGGGAATAAAGAGAGCTAATCTAACTCAGTGGTATTTGCATCCCTCCTCCCCTTCACCTGTGGCCCTCGGCTGCTTCATGTGCCTCTGGGCCTCCATTCACAGCCTGCGAGGCTGTGGGATGTTGACCGAGCTGAGCTTTTCCTCTTCTTGCTCTGCAATTGGCAAGGGAATGCTATTAGGAGGCAGTGGTTTTCCAGCTTCCATAAAGCAAGTGATAAGGTCCCAGTTTAAGAAGAACCATTTACAATAATACAACTATTGGTCTAATTGATTTACCCACCCCTTCCCTCCCTTCCTGCCTAGTGGGCACGTATCTGGCCTCCACCCAACACTGCTATTATTTAAATCAGGACCTCACTGTGTGGGGAATCACAAGCATATCCATACAACTCATCACTCTGTGACATAATATATTGCAGCATTACTGAAAGTGGACCTGGAGCGGGGCATTGGTTGGAACTGTGGCTCTTGACAAACATGATGAGCAATGTCGATCCAACCATCTCAGAGGGACAAGGGGTGCCCGTACTTACACCAACAGACAATGTTTCCTGTACATCTTTATGGCTGACTAGTTGAACATTGCCATCTTCATAATAATGAACCTGAAAACAAACATTTGATAAGTGGTTTGGACATGTAATTAAAATATAAATTATACTGAAAAACAACAAAACCACAAATTAGCATTCTTAGCAAACAGACCACTTAAAAAAAAGTTTGTTTTTTGGATATTCTGGGAAGTGGTGATGGGATGGGTTTCCACATGTGTTAGACCTGCTAGCCGCCCCCCAAAAAAAGTGTGGAAAGCTGAAGTACAAATGTCACCACAGCCTAGTTGGGCTGAATGGCCTGTTTTTAATCTGTACAGTCTATGCAATTCTACGTAAGAGGAATGAAAAATAAAGCAACCAAGCTATTTAATTTGGAGTACAAGTAGAAATTTATCATGGCTCAATCCAGATGAAGAGCAATCGCTCCAGATTATGGGTACGTGGTAATGTGTCAAATACATTTTGCAACAAAAGCTGGTTAGCAGCACAAGACTTATAGATGTAACTGAATGTTGTGTGGAACAGGATGGTAATATAATCCTTGCATTTGATATAACGCCTCATCACGTCTTCAAGACATCTCAAAGTACTTCACAGAATATACTGCAAAGTGTAGTGACTGTGTATTTTGGGACAAAACACAGCAGTCAATTGCACACAGCAATGTCCCACCAATAGTCATGGAGTGAGTGACCAATTATTATTATATTTTTTGAAGGGATTACTGAAAGGATATGGTATTGAGCCGTTGCGACCAAGGAAGATACAAATAATCTATTTTTTAAATTGATCATCTGCATTTTTTGCAGTTATTCCTCAGGAAATGAAACCTTATCATAGTGGTGAGAGTGGATAGTACATAATCTGTGAAAGGATGACTCTTAATGGATTGAATGACTTCTCACTGAAAGCTTTATGGTGTTGTAGATATTGGAGTATTTGAATGACTACTCTTAAGATTTTTTTTAAGTGGGGAAGATCTAAATTATTTCAAAACTGTGGGCTTTGTTTTCTGGCTCACCAGTTTTTAATAAAATAAATTACTCTCTCCTTTCCGCTCTGACTTTCTTTATAAAGTCCTTACTAGAGAAAAAAAAACACTCAAAACTGGTTTAAGAATACACACAATCCATAACACTCTGCAGTTTAGGAGTTACCAACCTGAATCTTTAAAACACCCTCCACTTGAGTTGCTGAAGGAGTGATGATAAACTTCCACTCTGATCGCCAACGCCCATTCCTTCATTCAAACGGTAAACAATTTAATGAAGTATTGAAAACAAAATGTGATTATTGAGACAACTGTGTAATTACATCATTACATCTGGTACACCTTTTGTCAAGAGAAACAGCAGGATAATTTAGGCAGTGCAACAAATTCAGCAACTGTAATTTGATACAATTGAGACCCTTGAAAGAGTTTGCTTTCAAATAAACCTCATCAACACCCCAGTAAAAACAGAACATAATCGAAAGCGATAGACGATTGAGTTTACTCAGGAAAAATAATCTAATGGTATCTAAAGAGCCTGAAGACAGAAAACATATAAAGATGCATTTAAAATTAAGTGGTGATAAAATGTTAATGGTAGGAACTTACAAATAAAACATATTTGGGACATATGGATGAGGCTACATGAAAACACTTATGGATGAAAGTCCACTGGTTGATAAAGTTCCAACTTTAGTGATATGCGCTAACCATTGGAATTTCATGCTCTCAGTACATTTAAAAAAAAGTACATTACTTTCAGTTTAAAGTTTGTAAGATACATTTCAATGCTACAAAAGCAAAACATTGTGTGCTTAATTAGGGGTGAAATGAAGTCTTCAGATTGGGAGCTCAAAACTGTTCATTACTTCCTCTGATCCAAACATTTTTCATTTGGTAGGTTTTGAATTTGATTTTGCTCCTCATCCACATTCTTAAAAAGGATTTATTAATTTATTTGGGAATATGGAATATTTGTATGAATGTCACATGCCATTAATCCAATCTTCATCAGAAATGGAATGAATCACAATTTTCTACAATTAAAAATACTGCAAATTTATATCTGTCACTGTCCTTTTAATTGCTTCGGAGGATTATATGTTTAAAATATTAACTTCTTTATAATTACTTCTCTTTGCTTGTTCGGGCATCATTTGCCTTCAAATCCTACAAAACGGAACCTAATCCTTCTGACAAAGAGACTACCCATGGCACAACTGTACATCAGCAGCTGAAATAACATTTGTTTTTCATTTTTAGTAAAAAAATTGCATTTGTTGCTTAAGTCATCTGCAGCGACGTTGTTTTATTCCTGCCTACCACCATCTACATTTATTCATTTGTGCATCAATTTAGCTCTGACCCTTGGGCATAAATCATATATTATGGATCTCCACAATGCGTTTTTTATGCTCTACGCAGTCTCAGTAAATAACTATTTTCTCTACCTTCCTTATTGGGCTTGAACTCTTATAACTTAGACAAGGTCAGTATTTTCCACAATAACAAATACCAACATAAATTGACAATTGGACAGGTGTCATCTTGTTTGTGACTAAAATATCTTTCTAAGCTTCTGATAACTCTGTTTAAGAAAGCAAAATTCTTCCAAAAACTATTACAGTAATAGCATTCCAACCTACCAGAAATTTTTAGGTTGGAATTGATGGCTCTCGATGCATATCATGATGGTTTGATGTCCGTCAATAATTTTCCCATATACCTAGAAAAAGATTTATAAGCCCGTGTTTTATAATCCCGAGGTGTGTAACATCTAAATGATAAAATTACACTGAACAATTATTTGATTGAAGCATCAGTGGTCTGCTACAACTCAAACCTGGGTCTCTCCTTGTAGCTGAGACATCCTGTAGGGCAAGAATATTCTCCTACAAAATACACAGTCAATCCTGAAGTGCATTGAGACATCTCAACAATATAAGGCGCTACATCAAATGTAATAATTAATATTATAATAAAAGTCACAAAGGTACTATCTTGCCATCACAGCACTAGAGTTGTCTGCAGCATACAATATGCAACAAACTATGACCTAGATACAGCAAACGACTGCAGTCTGCTGCTGTAGCAATGGATGATTCTAAGGATTTCATAGGTGACAACAAAGGGCCTATTTTCAAACTATTTTGCCACTATTAGCTGTTGACGACGAAGTGCTATTTTAAAGAAACATATTTGTTGAATACTGCATATTCATAATAGATCAAGAATTTCAAACAACAGCAACAAACAACAAATTACATTTGTAAAGCCTTTCACTTCAGGAGGATGTCTCAAGGTGCTGAACGGTCAGGGATTTGGAATCAGGAGGGGTGGAGGGCAGGGAGGGTAGGGGTAGGGGTAGGTGGCCGAAGGCGCAGTCGACAAAGAGCATCTTGAGACGTGCTTTGAAGGAGACAAGGGAGGGAGCTAGGTGAAGGGACTGTGGGATGGAGTTCCAAAGGGTCGGGACAGGGAGGCTGAAGGACCGACCGCCAATTGTGGGTCATGGCACGCATGTGGGGCAGAAAGGACAGTTGAGGGTCAAACAAGAAGATGCCAAGACTGGCTCAGTAAGGTGGAGTGTGCATCCATGGATGGTGATGCACGCAGTACCTGAGCTGTGGAGGTGCTGACAGGAGCCAATCAGGATGGCTTTGGTCTTGTTGATGTTCAACTGGAGAAAGTTAGCTCTCATCCAGGACTTGATGTCTGACAGACATTCTGTCAGGACAGCAGTGGTCCGGGAGTCAAGCGTGGAGGCAGAAATAAGAGTTTGGTGTCATTCACATACATGTGGAAGATGACCCCATGTCTACGGATGACGTCACCAAGAGGGAACATGTACATGTTGAAACTTACAGTACAGATACCATCCGGGTAATGTTCTTTTACATATGCCCTCACAGCAATATCCACAGCACTTCTCCAAGACTCCAATGCATTGTCAACATCATGAGGTCTGGGATCACTTGCTTCTTTCCGTAAATGATCAAATTTAAACGAGATCTTGTTCTTAGGATCCAAAAATCTACCACTGCCAAGGTCTCCATGCTCTGTTATTAAGACCTGTAACCAAATGTTATTAAAAATTACAATCTAGTCCAGAGAACAAAAATCATCTCATTTTGTAAACGCTTCTGAAACAGAAGCTCATGGTAAAATTATACCACTATCTTACATTCAATATCTCCAAGATCTTGATTCATATGCACATTGGACAAAAGATTGCTTCAGTCACTTTCACTGCTACTTTGTAAACACTTGTAACTTTTATAAATCATACAACTAATAAACATCAAATGGAATTAAGTCAGAATTACATTGCGTTTTACAAATCTGGAAACTGATCGTTTTGCCTTGTTTAGAATGCTTGTTCCCAAAGTAGTATTTAAAGGTGCTACATCTTATCCGTGATTACAAAATTAATTTTATATTTTAGTATTTTAATATTGCAAACCCATTGGAAAAAGCAACAAATTTACTTTGCAAAATGTTTAGCAAATGAGCAACAGAATACAAATCAATTTTAAAAAGCCCTATCAGCCGCTTGTGACTAACAAAATTACAGATGGCACCAATTCCTCTTCCTACAGGACGACAGAATTATTAGCAAGCTACATCAGGAATGGCTTAAACATCACCTTTCTCATTAAGTTAACAAGAGATAAGCATTGCTTTATTTTTACTCCCTTTTCTTGAGCTGAAAATTTCCTGCAGGAACATTTTTTTTAAACAAAGCATCACTATCCTACTGAAACATGTAACTGACCCAGTATAATGATCCCGGATTCGGACCTCACCATATAGAAAACATAGGCTTCTATACATATAAAAGGTAACCAACCATTGGTTATTAGACAGCCATTCTTACTTACCTACAGTAATATTAGAAATTACTTTCCCTTTCTCACCCGAGCCCTCCCACAATGAAATGCAGCATCTGAACTTGCTTTAGAAAGTACAGCATGACAGAAATACAACCCTATCATCAATGGTAGTACATATTTTTACAGGTCTGTTTAAATATCCTTTTTTGTTAACATTTGGTAACTAATAAGATACGATTCCGTACCTGATCGTCATACCCATCAATTTTTGCTGGAGTAAACTGGTCCACATTATACTGTGCAAATGCACTAGAAAGAGAGATTAATAATGGAAATTAAAAATCTGAATATCACTCCAGGATATACCAGATGGAAGATGGTTCCTAAAATGTCAAAACTACTCAACAGAATTTCAACATAGGATGTGGGCTTAAAGTACTTAAAAATCAACAAACCCTTACCCCCCAGCAATAATGTTTTGGTGTGTTAACTAGAATATTAGCACTTTTTTGAAGTATGGGATTCAGAAAACAATTTAACAATTTGTTAGAACATTATTGAAATCTCCATTTCTTATGTTAAAAATAGTTAAGTCCATTGCAAAATTGCGGTCACAGATTTGATTTCAGATTGCCTGACATGTTAGTCAGTTATTCTAGATTATGAGGATTTATTCTTATTAATTTGCTGCTTCACAACACACATTGCCTCATCAGAGGAGATCAATAGCATTACATACAACACAGTCTAGACAATGGTGCAAAACAAAAACATGCACAAATTCAATTACAGCTCCAAGCTCCTAAATTATACAAGAGTTTTGCCGACTTTCTGGAAACCAGTCACATGCACTGCATTTATTACTTCCCAGTACTGTAGAAGAAGGACGGACAAATATTCAATCAATTGCATAATTTTAAGACTTGTACTTTTTGCAGAGGTTTTACTGCAAACCAATCAGAGTTCTTGCAAGAACAAGATTACTCCACTGTCCCTATTGGCCCCAGAGCGAAAGCAACATTTTTTGGGGCTGGGAGAACGTCACCAAGCCCTGGATGAACAAGTAATAATGGAAAGAGCACAGAAAACTTTCAAAACAGTTTGTTTGAAAGCTTGTACAGTTGTTAATGTATTTAGTGTTAATCAAATTTTGAACTGAAAGTTTACAAATATTCAGGGTCAGAATATCTTTTCAGGGATTATTTCTATAGTTACTGCAGAATGAAAAGCTTTAGAAATTGTACTTACTGTGCTGTACTCTCCCTGAGAAGATTGTCATCATTAAGTAGCAACCGCACATCTGCAGGAAAATAAAAGCCGTGCTGGAGTTAGTGAAAGACAATAAATCAGTTGGATATCGTAGACAGATTATGCAAATTGCTGACATAAAAAAAATCATCCTTGCATTTGATAAAATGTCTTTCACATCAGAGGACGTCTCAAAGCATTTCACAGGATAGATACTGTGAAGTGCAATAACTATTTTATAGGCGATGCCTACAACACCTTCATCCACCTACCTACATGCATCAACCCTTCATATTTCTATTGTTAAATCACACATATCTAAAGGTTAAAAAATCTGCTTCACTATATTCATCCTTCAACAGAACTTTAGTACTTTTGGAATTGAGATTAATTTTAAATCAATAAAATTAAGAAGCCACTTTGGAATATGACCACTTGAAACAGTTAGTGAATTAAGATGTGTTGTAAGATGGTGATTACATTGCTCTTCATATGAGCAGGAATTACAGATAGGTGCAATTTTAAGATGTTTTCTGTGCATCTAACTGTCAAGGGTGATTCAGAAAGTGAGTAAAAAGGAAGAAAATGAGAATCAAACTACAAGTGCAAACAAATTTATTGGGCACCATTTAATAAGACATTTAAATCAGATTTTTTATATCAACTGAATCCTAGCATCTAATAAGATTAGAATTCATTGGAATCAAACCTAGAAAGGAGTCCCTGCTCTACTTGGCACTTCTACAAATAGCCAGATTGAGACTGGGAACTCACCATTGATGAACTTGTTCGTGTAGTAGTACGGTATAATGTGCTAATCCACAAACTTCCTTTACCAAGCTGTTTGATTTGTGGTAACTAGAGAAGAGGTAATGTACTAGTCTCCAGGTGTCTTTGTTCATTAACTCTCAACCATATTTAATCGTTAAAATAATAAGTGCTCATCAAGCTTTAGCGTAATGAATAAAGAAAATGAAAGCCTCTGTATTCTAAGTAATGTAACTGAACTTACCATTGAAAACTTCATTGAATTCCCCCGGCGGAGCGTGAATAATGAAGTTCGCCGCTATGCGTACCTGTAATTAAAAGACTTTGTAATTACAGTTCATTGAAAATCTCCAGTAACTGCTTTTAAAAATATCTTAACATCAGTTTATAGATATTCATCCAAATGATGACAGGGTCTGCTAATATTATACAGTACTTAACCTTAAATTGAATGGTACATCTGTATAACATTTTAGAATTTTCACACAGTTAAAGCCTCGAACTTTATAATCATCCTCTCCCAAAAAATCAAACATCTACAATGTCTTTGACACACATGGAAAAAGGATAGGGGAGTTAAAATTCTCTGCGATGGTCATTTCTTCGATGAAGAATGTTCCAGGTCTGGCTCCTCTTGAATTAGCTCATTTTACTCAGAAGGGCAATGGGAATGTTAAAATTGATCTTAATATCCCAAAGCTGTGTGTATGTGATGGTGATGGCTGGGGGAAGGAGGGGGTGGGGGCGAAGTGTAAGTAATCAATTGAGCTCTATTCTCACTCATGATTGCTATTTCTACTCAAAATGTAGAAGCAACAACAGAACGGACAAGGAAACTATATTTTAAGCTCAAATTCAGGGCAGTGCATTATGCCATTAATAAACAAATAAAACTAATTGATAACAACAAAATATCCCAGTTGTAGGCTTGCCGAATAGGCAGTGGGTAAGCCCATTTTCACTACCTGCTGCTGTAGCAGTTAGCCATAGGGGACAGTAGGAAGCTTCAATCTATGCCATATTTGGAATTCGCTGAAGTGGTGGGACACTATAATTAGTCTGCACTGTATCTGAAGGCTAAAATGGGAGAAGGGGGATGGGAGAAAATGGTCTTGCAGAAAAATAAGTCAAGAGGCCAACTCCTGATCACTACTAAATGAGGTGAGATTAAGCTCTGTTGTAAAGCCCCTCCATGAATGCACTGCACTTGCAGTCCTGGCTCACAAATTAAGAATGACCACTTGAGCAAAGTATTGGAGGACAGCCAGTGCCCTTGCAATCATTCCTGATCTTCAATCAGCCTTCCCTAGAATAAATAACAACACTGGGGAAAAACTCATTTTTTATCATCACCTTTTGTGTGACATTTCAGTTTCCCCCACATATGTTAAATCAGCAATAGCAAGTAGCAATCTTTGATAACACATTACTATACTAATGATCTCTCGAAGGTCTCACATTTGCAATGCAATATTTGTTAGTGGCAAGCTACAACAGAGAACTGGATGTCGAGAAATACTTAAGCCTTAACTAGGAATGTAATATCTCTCTCCACCATTGCTCTCTTTCACTGTTGCAGGTATTAATTTATCCTGAATCCACAAAGTTGAGGCTACTTTCAGGACATTTGATTTATGCAGTTATATAAAATAACTTTGCATTTCAAATAGCAACTTTCTCATTGGAAGGATGTCTCAAAGCACTTCACAATATTTACTGTAGAAAGTAGTTACTGTGCATTTTTTGAAGGCTGTTCTTGACCCTCCATATTGAACGCTATTAACCCTGGATATTGGCTCATGATTGCATTTTTTGCCAAGAGAAAGCTGTTCCAACAAATCAGCCGCTCACTACTTTCAAGAAAAGCAATGTGAAACATGAGAATCGACTAAAACCAATTCGCCACTGCTAATCCAAGTAGTCTAATAAGGACACCTCACAGTACTTCAGTTCTAAATATACAAGTGTGCACTATTGGCCTCGGGCAATCATGTGCACATGATGGCAATACGCAAGACAGGTCTGAATTCTCTACCATTCGTAATTGCTGTAACAAATTCAGAACAAAATGGAGAGCAATGTTTTGATGTAATGTACTTGTATCTTCTATTGTCAGATGAAATAATCATTGACATTAATGCAACTGTCATTTTGACATAACAAGGAAGGGTTGTCAATTAGTGGACTGCGAAATAGTAGCTGATATCCCCAAATCAGAATTTGAATTCAACATCAAAGATCATAGTTAAGATGCACTATGAAAGCTTCAATGATTAATTAAAATGTCACCCAACTATAACAAGCTGAAAACAAATTCTTCTTCCACATACTTCAAATCTGCATTAAACAACCAATTTTAAGGCAATTTAATAGTTTGATCAAATTTTAAGTCTCCCATTTCCTTTCTTTTCTCCCCCTCTCTCTCCCTCTCTCTCTTCATCTCTTCAATTCCCAGAATATTGAAAGTTTGACCAAACATAAAATTACCCAAAACAAGTGGATGCCATTCAATGTTCAGTCACACTACTGCAATAGCGCAAATGTATTTTTCAGAAACTGGGTCAACAATGTTCAGCAGGACAGAGGGTATCACATGATGCATATCAGACATGACATAAAATACTGTTTTCTTACTATGAACTGAAAGTTGTTGTAAGAAATTACATCTAGTAGAAAAATAAATATTCCTAACATCTCTATCAATAAATGGCCAGGGAGAGAGAATATACAGTACCTAATAAAGAGTTCCTACAATTACAGAAGAGGGCTAAGGGTCCTACTGTTAAATGTGGAGTCCTGTACTCAGTGATTAGAGCACTCGCCTCGCAAGCCAGATACCTGGGTTCGATTCTTAGCAGGGCGAAACCTTGTGTAAGTTTCCTAACTCCACACACCTGATAATAATCCCTCAAGAAAAAAAACAATAATCATTTAGTTATTCAATCTACGACTGTTTGTGGGACACTGCTGCGTGCAATTGTCTGCCGTGTTTCGCCTACAAAATATACAGTCAATTAACTTTACAGTATATTCTGTGAAGCGCTTTGAGACGTCTAGAAGACGTGAAAAGCGCTATATCAAATGCAAGGATTATTATTGTTATTAAATGGTACCCTAACTAAGAGAACATTTTTGTTCTTTGCTATTTCGATAACTATATTTAGATCTTTATATCTGACTAGCTGTCCCCGTTGCAGCTACGCTTGCAAACAAAGTATCCAATATGGAATGTAGATTTCAGTGATACCACTCACAAACCATGTAACATGCCATCAACACTGTGTGTACACCTTAAGCAAAACGATTGTAGATACTCCATAATTTTTGTATGCTCATTGTTAGAGCTCGCATTTTCAGTGGTACCACTCATAAACCATTTTACATGCCATAAACCCTGTGTGCACATCTTAAGCAAAACTGCCATACATGTGTGATGAGTTTGTTTAGGTCATAGCTCATCAATGATAGGAGATCCCCACCCCACCAAAATATGCCCATGACACTCCCCCATCCCAGACCTTTCTGATGAGGTATAAATTATGTCTCTACGTCAATCGGTTATTGAGTTCTTGGCTGACACACAAGACAGACATTACGCCTTATTAGTATGTATGGGTGGATGGATAGATGGATAGATAGAAAGAAATAGTGCCTATCATACCAAAACATTTCTAAGTGCTTCACTGATTAATTTCTCTCAAGCAAAGTAACTCCTTCGTTTAACAGGCTAATTCGGAAGGCCACAGTTCCAACAACGCAGCTTTCCCCCAGTACTGTATGGGTGTGAATAAGCCTGGACTATGAGCCCAAGTACTGACTTGATGCTTGACCTACAACCTTTGACACAGAGGTGGGAGTGCTACAAACTGAGTGAAGCTGATACCAAATTTATTCATAACACTGTGAAGGTCAGATCATGAAAGTCACTTGGAACAGCGGTTTTGAACTGAAGGATACATAATTTAAAAGGCTATTAAATGTAGAAGTATGGACACCAATTTTCAGTGTTAAATTATATGTGCAGGCCAACTTCAACGGTTCACTTCAAGCTTATAATGCCTGGACTACTGCAGGCTTAACTTGAAAGTAACAAAAATGCAATAAATTCATGTAAAGATGCTTAATGTTGAACTGGTATCCTGAGAAGCTGAAGTATTTGTCCATTTTAACATATGTCATCAGGTTCCAAGTCTTCAACTTTCAATATGTTCAAAACTAAATGGAATTGAATATGAAGAACAGTATCATCTGTTTAGAATTGTCAAATTCAGCATTGAACATATTTTCTTTCCCCAAATTACCACAAAACACTAAACATGAATAAACCAGAGATTGAGAAACTAATTCTGACAGATGAAATGGGGATATAGAGAACCTGCTGAGATGTGCAATTTATAACATTTCAGCGCAACAGGACAATTTTAGACAAATTTGATTTTATCAATCAATACTTCTGATAGTAGAATTAGGTCTACACCCACCACTCATAAAAAAAGGCAATTATAAATAAACCTTAGGGTCTAGTCATAATCTTCTTACAATATAAAAACTCCCTTTTCAGAAAGTAAAAACACATTTGTGTCACTTGACCTATAACGTTTCTGCATTAAATAACCGATTTTAAAGGTAATTTCAACATTGTTCCCACACTTAAAATAGTGGTGTGATCTAATATCATCTCTCCATTCATACTGACTGATACAAAGCTTATCGCATGCATCAATGAGTAAAAACTTCAATATACAGTATCCTATGACTTAAGAGTGGTTTCACTCATTACATATGGGTAAACAATACCTCCATTAGTATGAAGCCAATTCTTAGCATATGGGTAATGTCAACAACATACCTTGCATTTGATATTTCACCTATAACATTGATATGTCTCAAAGAGCTTCATAGGGAATTGCTGTTAAGTGTAGTAATTGTCTTTGTAGGCAAAGGAGGCAACTAATTTGTGGACAGCAAGGCACTACAAACAGCTATGAAATAAATGACCAATTTATATGGAATATTGTTAGCCAGGATACCAGGAGAAACTCTCCATTTTAGTCATAGTATTAATAGGATCTTTAATGTCCACTTAAACTGGGCACGTTGCTTTAACTTCTCATCTTCTCATCCAAAGGACGAGTAAACAGGGAGAGAAAGAGTATAAACAGTATAAAAAATGGGGGGAAAATAAAGCAGGTACTTCACCTCAGGTGTTGACACCGACTACTGTACTATTTACTGAAATGCTTGACAACCCTGCTGTAAATATTGCACCATAGATGGTTTTCTTACAAGTGGATGTTCCAGCTACCGAAAAAATTCCCAGTGATCCAATTGCACCAATCACAAAGGAGAATAACTGATAACAAAGTAAATATTTAAGAAAACCAACAACCTGTTTTACTTCAGGTAACTGCAAGTCATTATAATTAGTCATAATATAAATTCCAAAGCAAAAATATTATCTCCCATACAGTCCACAAAAAATCAAAGCTCATAAAACATTCAGAAATATTGGTCTATTAGCTTCATTTTAATAACAAAGGCATCAATTATATTAGAACCAACAATCTTAAATTATTTTAATAACAAACTGCTTGGATCACCTTTGGAGACACTACTATATCAAGCTCTCCCTCTCTTCTTCCTGCTGCAAATTGCGGGGGGAAAAATTCAAAGTGAGGTGAGCCACCAAATAATCTGGAGAATTATTCACTAGGATGTGCAGGGGAAAACATCTGGTTGTTTCACGGGAACTTTAATGTTTCTCTTGAAACAGCCAGTCTGTATAAAACAAATAGCTTGACAATTTCAATTGGTGCGATTTATTTCAGTGCTACTTGTTTAATCTTTCAAATTCTGCACACAAATGTTCTGGAGATGTGAGATCACTCTAGAATCCAGCAGTCAAACTGAAATTAGTAAATATATACAGTACCATCTTATGGCGCTCTTCTGTGTGTAACATTTTCCCATTTCTATTTACCACGAGCAATAGAAACAAAAACCCTACATCACTGTGATATACAAAAAAAAGAGAGAAAGGGGGTGGAGTGGGAGCTGCAAACCAGGATGTTTACTTCAGTGTTCACTGAAACTAAACAATCCAATGACCTAGAGCAAAATAATCTTGCAGTACATAGTCAAAATCAGTCCCTAAGCCTCCACCCCTCCTCAAAAATGACAAAACTCGGGCTTTAAAAAATCTACTTCCATATATTTATGCAAGGATTATTATTGTGGTTGACAACTGGGAGGAGGGGGGGGGGGAGGTAGCAAGTTCCCTTAAAGCAAAGAGACCGGGGCTCACAAGGGCTGACTGATTGTTCATCTTCTACAAACAAAATCCATGACAGTTTGTGGGACACAAACAAACAAACAAACAAACAAAAACTGACGCGTTTCGCCCACAAAATATGCAGTCAATTCACTTTACAGGACATTTCTGTGAAGCGCTTTGAGATGTCTCAACGATATGATAAGGAACAATATCCAATGCAAGGATTTTTATCAGCAATGGTACACATGGGGAAGTCTACACGTTGCCGCAGATCACTGGCGATGAAGCGCTTTGAGACGTCTCGAAGAGGCGATAGAGGCTTTAAGTCAAACGCAAGGATTATTATTATTTAACCAGATCACAAATGTAACCACTTGTAATAAGGGTGTGTGTGTGTGTGTGTGTGTGTGTGGGTGGGAGGGGGTATTAAAGGAGAGGAAAGGGCACTGACTGAAGGTGTTGTTGATGTCCTTATGGGGGGGGGGGGGTCTGGCTGGACTTCAGTCACTTTATTTAAAGACATTAAAGAGGAGTCCGGAGCTGTGTAGCCCCGCGGGGGGGGGGGGGGGGGAGGAGGCACCGTGCGGCCGAGAGAAGAGGATAAGACCCCCCCCACCTGCCCCGGGTCCCCTCCGTCCTCCTCCCCCACCCCAGGGGGTGAGAGTGTCAGACCCTGGAGCCGGGCCCCGGGGTAAAGCCCCCCCTCCCCCACCCACCCCGCCTGTGCGGCCAGCGGGCGGCTCGCCTCATCCCTCCTCACCCCCCAAGCGGGGAGGGGGGGGGAGGGGGAGGGGATGGCGCCGGGGCCGACACCGGCCCCTACAAGGACAGAGTGTGTGAGAGAGAGAGAGAGAGAGAGGGGTCCGGGGCCGCTGTGTGTGTCTCTGGGTCTGGCGGCCGGACAACCAACGGCTAAAAATAACCCCCTTCCCCCCTCTCTCTCTCTCTCCCCCCTTCTCTCTCTCTCCGCTCCCCCCTTCTCTCTCTCTCCCCCCCTTCTCTCTCTCTCCCCCCCTTCTCCCTCCCCACACACGCGCGGCGAGGCCGGTAGGGAGTGAGCGCGGACACCTCCTTGCCCGGTGGTGGGTGCCGCCGCGCCGCCGCCGCCTCTCACCTTCTCCTCCTCCGATACCTGCTCCTCGTGATCCGCCATCTTGGCCGAGGCTGGGAATGACTGGCCTTGAGCACGCGCGGCGCCGCCCCGCCCCGTCCCTCTCCTCCCTCCTTCCCTCCGTCCGTGCGCGCCCCCGCTGCTCCCCTCCCTCCGTGCGCGCCCCGATGCTCCCCTCCCTCCCTCCCTCCCTCCGTGGGCGTCCACGCCGCCGCACTCCTTCACCTCGTGCGCGTCCCCGCCACAGCCATCCTACACCCCCCCCACCCCCCGTCCTCCTTCACCCCCTCTCCCTCCTGCGCCTTCTCCTCCCCCACCATCCCCACACCTCCACCTCCCCCACCATCCCCACCATCCCCCCCCATCCCCCACCATCCCCCACATCCCCACCTCCCCCACCATCCCCCCTCCCCACCATCCCCCACCATCCCCCACCATCCCCCACCATCCCCCACCATCCCCCACCATCCCCCACCATCCCCCACCATCCCCCACCATCCCCCACCATCCCCCACCATCCCCCACCATCCCCCACCATCCCCCACCATCCCCCACCATCCCCCACCATCCCCCACCATCCCCCACCATCCCCCACCATCCCCCACCATCCCCCACCATCCCCCACCATCCCCCACCATCCCCCACCATCCCCCACCATCCCCCACCATCCCCCACCATCCCCCACCATCCCCCACCATCCCCCACCATCCCCCACCATCCCCCACCATCCCCCACCATCCCCCACCATCCCCACCATCCCCCACCATCCCCCACCATCCCCCACCATCCCCCACCATCCCCCACCATCCCCCACCATCCCCCACCATCCCCCACCATCCCCCACCATCCCCCACCATCCCCCACCATCCCCCACCATCCCCCACCATCCCCCACCATCCCCCACCATCCCCCACCATCCCCACCATCCCCCACCATCCCCCACCATCCCCCACCATCCCCCACCATCCCCCACCATCCCCCACCATCCCCCACCATCCCCCACCATCCCCCACCATCCCCCACCATCCCCCACCATCCCCCACCATCCCCCACCATCCCCCACCATCCCCACCATCCCCCACCATCCCCCACCATCCCCCACCATCCCCCACCATCCCCACCATCCCCCACCATCCCCCACCATCCCCCACCATCCCCCACCATCCCCCATCCCCCACCATCCCCCACCATCCCCCACCATCCCCCACCATCCCCCACCATCCCCCACCATCCCCCACCATCCCCCACCATCCCCCACCATCCCCCACCATCCCCCACCATCCCCCACCATCCCCCACCATCCCCCACCATCCCCCACCATCCCCCACCATCCCCCACCATCCCCCACCATCCCCCACCATCCCCCACCATCCCCCACCATCCCCCACCATCCCCCACCATCCCCCACCATCCCCCACCATCCCCCACCATCCCCCACCATCCCCCACCATCCCCCACCATCCCCCACCATCCCCCACCATCCCCCACCATCCCCCACCATCCCCCACCATCCCCCACCATCCCCCACCATCCCCCACCATCCCCCACCATCCCCCACCATCCCCCACCATCCCCCACCATCCCCCACCATCCCCCACCATCCCCCACCATCCCCCACCATCCCCCACCATCCCCCACCTCCCCCACCATCCCCCACCATCCCCCACCATCCCCCACCATCCCCCACCATCCCCCACCATCCCCCACCATCCCCCACCATCCCCCACCATCCCCCACCATCCCCCACCATCCCCCACCATCCCCCACCATCCCCCACCATCCCCCACCATCCCCCACCATCCCCCACCATCCCCCACCATCCCCCACCATCCCCCACCATCCCCCCCCCCCACCATCCCCCACCATCCCCCACCATCCCCCACCATCCCCCACCATCCCCCACCATCCCCCACCATCCCCCACCATCCCCCACCATCCCCCACCATCCCCCACCATCCCCCACCATCCCCCACCATCCCCCACCATCCCCCACCATCCCCCACCATCCCCCACCATCCCCCACCATCCCCCACCATCCCCCACCATCCCCCACCATCCCCCACCATCCCCCACCATCCCCCACCATCCCCCACCATCCCCACCATCCCCACCATCCCCACCATCCCCACCATCCCCACCATCCCCACCATCCCCACATCCCCCCTCCCCACCATCCCCACCATCCCCCCCATCCCCCACCATCCCCACACCCCCCTCCCCACCATCCCCACATCCCCCCACCCACCATCCCCACATCCCCTCTCACCCACCATCCCCACATCCCCCCTCACCCACCATCCCCACATCCCACCATCCCCACATTCCCTCTCACCCACCATCCCCACATCCCCCCACAATCCCCACATCCCCTATGTGTCACCACAGCCTCTTCCTTCTCCCCCCTCCCCTCGCCTCCTGTGACACTCCTCCAACTGCCCATTCCTCCCTGCATGGCTCCCCACGGCTTCTTCCGCACGCGCCCGTCACTGAACTGTTGGCGCGACACGTGCCAATTTGCAGACTGGGTGAGGTGGGCTGATGCCAGGACCCGCACTCGCTTACAGTAATTGGAATGCCTAGATTTTTGGTGGGGGTAGGGAAGAGGAGAAGAATTCAGGGGTCGCCAGCCTCAGGCTCCGTGGTCATAATCCTTAGGTTCTTGGTCACTAGCATCAGAATTGGGTTCACCAGAACTGGCTCGGGAATCACCAGAACTGGCTCGGGAATCACCAGAACTGGCTCGGGAATCACCAGTCCTGTTACCAATGGTGCTCTTGTCTCTGCCAGAGAAAGCCATGGGTTCAAGTCTCGTTTTGTGGACTTTAAGCTAACACTTCGATGCAGTGCTTGGGGAGTGTTGCATTGTCAGAAGTGTTGTCCTTAGGATGAGATGTTAACTGAAGTCTTCTGCTTTTTGCATACATTAAAGATCCTAGAGCAGTATTTTAAAAGAGAAGTAAGCATTCAATGAGACCAAACTTTCAGATTCTGTGTCTCTAACCGTTGCAATTCCATTCTTCTAAGCTTCTGTCTTGCCCTCTCTTTATCTTAAAACGTACCTCTTCGACCACATCTATGGTCACCTCCCCCATTCCCCTCCCTTTCCCCTGCTTGGTGTCCACTCCTAACATTGTAAAGCTTTATCTTCATGAAGGGCGCTATATAAGTGCAACTTGCTGTCTTAGTTGAAGCTTCTTAAGTTATACAGTATCCAGCACCTTGGGATATTCTCCTGATGTGAAAGGCTCTATACAAATGTAATATTGTTGTTATACTCATGTCTTCTGATACTGCGCGCTAAGCCCAAATTAAATTATCATGCTTAGACCCATATTATCCTTTCAGGCCTTTCATATTGGGAGGACATCTCAAAGTACTTCACATAGGAGTAAAGTGGTGTGGCTACTGCGTTTTGTGGGCAAATCCCAATGTGGGGAATTGTAAACATGAGGCTACCAATTTGCCAGAGCTCCAATATACTGTGCTATCACACCTTTTGCATAGTATGATTTCAAACGAATTGTGTGTTTACTGTTCTGTTGCTGAGATGATATATGAGCTGCATGCCACCGCAAATCAGTGAGCTTCCAGCTCACCCCGTCATTACATTCTCTTCAGTGGAAACCAATGGATTTGTGAGCACAGTAACATAATGGCTTTGGGACCTTTATGAATGTAATTACATTCCTATTGATTCAGTAGGAGAAAAATGCACCATTGGACATGGGAGTGACTAAACGGACCGACTACTTTTTTATTGGCTTACAACAACAACTTGCATTTATATAGTACCCTTCACGCGGGGCAGTGGCTTGGAGCGCTTCACAGTGGTGGAACCTGACAACGAGCTGGGGGAGGGAGGAGGTGACTGTGAGCACTATCGAAGAGGAAGGTGTTCAGTCAAGATCTAAAAGAAAGGGCATGAGGGATTGGGAGAGAGAGTTCCAAAACTTTGGGGCACAGTGGCTGAAAAGCACGCCGACTGTAGAGCGGAGGGTACGATGGACAAGTGGTAGTGAAGTGGGGAGAAAGCAGGTCAAAAATGTAGGGAGATGCCAGGGCGTGAAGAGATTTGTAGACAACTTGCACTTACCCAGAGGTTGATGTCTCAAAGCACTTTGGAGAGAATGGAACAGATCACTGAGCAAGGAGGATAAGGTATAAGGATGTTGTTTGAAAGCCGAGTCAAATAGTTTTTTGGGGAGGGTTTTGAAGGCAGGGAGAACAGGTTTACGGTTAAAAAAAATCTTCTAACCTTAACTTTTGTTTTCGCCTGTTTTTAGGGATAGATTCTAGTATTTGTGTTTCACTGGCACGCCGTAATGATAAACTATTAAAATATGTATCTACCCAATGCCTCATAATTGGATTGGTGATTAAGTTGAGGATACTTGCCAGACACATGTAGCAATGAATCAATAATACAGACACCATCTGGTGGTCATTTCTGTGCAAAGCAGTTCTGCTTTCCTGTGTGACGCTGGAGTTTGATAGAAACAGTTCAGTTTGAAGTGACTCGAGAGGGACAGTATTGCTGTGAACACATAGTTCCATCAAGTTACATAGAGTAATACGGCTTCGAACAGGCAATTATGCACACCTAGTTTGTGCTGCTGTTTATACTCCATACGAGCCCCCAACACTCTTATTCCCCTTCTCCCTCATGTACACGGGATAATTTTGCAGAAAATATCAGTGGGCGTTTCACAAGTCGAAATTTTATTACAAAACTTTCAACTGTTCAACCACAAAATACATGCTGTCACATCACTTTGCCATATATCCTGTGAAGCACTTTGAGACGTCTGGATGATATGATAAGGCACGAGATCAAAAGCAAGGAACGTTATTATGTTTCACATAATGAAACAGAGGGGAGGTGAGGGAGAAATCTTTTCGCACAGTGAGTTGTTCAGATCTGGAATGCATTGCCTAAAAGGGTGGGGGAAGCAGATTAGATAACAACTTTTAAGAGACAGGTAGATAATTATTTGGGGAGGACAAGCTTGCAGGGCTATGAGGAAAGACAGGGAAGTGGGATTGATTTGGATAGCTTTTTTCAACACAGACCTCCTTCGAATGGCCTCCTTCTGTGTTGTATATTTCTATGATTCTCACTTCTAGGTCATTGCCTGCGCAGAGCATATTTTATCACACATGCACTTCGACTCTCTGATGCGGTGGTGGTAGTGGTGAAGCCAGTGGGGGGAGTGGTTAGAAGGGCTCATACCCCACCTCCCCCAATTGCTTTGAACTTAGCCACAATCAGCCAAATCTGACGATTTACCTGTACTTGTTTGCATCATGTTGCTGTTTTTAACCACCCACTGACTGGCAGCACTGGTCTACCAATTACAGCCACTCACCCCACTCACTCACTGACAGGCAACTGCCAAATAAAGTCCAGACATTGCCCACAGCACACCCACTGACTGTCTGGCAGTCTGCAGAAGGGTAATAATAATAATCCTTTCATTTGACATAACACCTTATGTCTTTGAGATGTCTCAAAGGACTTCGCAGAATATACTGTAAAGTGAATTGACTGTAGTATTTTGTGGGCAAAACTTGGGTAGAGCCAAATCAACCAAATCCTGACTTTAACCACCACCCCAATCCTTCGACCCTAGATCTATCCCTGGTTAGTGGGTAAAGATATAATCTGGTTTAGCACTAAATGTATAGGTAATAATAAATAATAATCATTGCATTTGATATAGCGCTTTCCACATCTTCTCGATGTCTCAAAGTGCTTCAGAATATACTGTAAAGTGAATTGACTGTATATTTGTGTGAAATGCGGCAGCCAATTGCACACAGCAGTGTCCCACAAACAGTCGTGCATTAAAAATGACCAATATATTATTGTTTTGTTTTGGAGGGAATATTATTAGGCATGTGGAGTAAGGAAACTTGCCCAAGGTTTCGCCCTGCCGGGAATTGAACCCAGGTGTCTCGCTTGCAAGGTGAATGCTCTAACCACTGAGCTACAGGACTCCACAGGTACAGGAAGATTGGTTTTGTTTCCAATCTATTCTGAGTTATCTGACCTCGAGCAGGGCACCTGGTTTGCAACCAGCCTTGGAGGGGAACAAGAAGGTTACCACTCTTGATCTCCACCTGAAGACCCATGATAGAAAGTCTGCATGTGTGGGCATTTGGGTGAGTTAGGACTGGGCTCAGCTGTGATCCCTCCAAAGTCTAACAGTCTGTCGACACTGACTCATGCGTGAAGAATGTATTGCAGGGCAGGGCAGCCACTGCCTTGTGAAACTGTATATCCCAATAAGAGTCATCAGCTTCAGTGCAGAAAAGAGAAAAACAGTTTCAAATAGAGTACAGGCTATCCCAATGCTAAGTTATAATCCTTTCATTTGATAAGAGCACCTTTCCTTGTCTGAAAGTGTTTCACACAATGTTCTGTAAGGTTTGGTGACTTTGTGTTTTGATGGAACGTTTGCTGGTTTTGTGGAGCCAGAGGCTATGACTGGAAGTTATGCAATCATCCATAGCATTGCTGAAAATCCATGCTACATTTCCTGTTTGGTCATGCAGACTATACAACAATCCTGAATGTTCATACCTGTTTGCAGGAATTCACTGTAAATGTATCACACACGATAATAATCCTTGCATTTGATATTGTGTCTATAATAAAACATCTGAGAGCATTTTACAATAATTCTGTAAAGTGTAGTAACTGTATATTTGTAGGTCAATGAAGCTGCCTATTTGCACACAACAAAATCCCAGAAACATCAAGGAGGTGAATACTAAAGTTATATTTTGGAGGGTTGTTGGCCAGGACACCAGAAGAAACTCCATTTTCTTTTTGAGTAGCATCATATCCTGCTTGACTCGCGCATCCTCCGTTCCACCATCGGTGGATGCGCTTTCAGCCACTACGCTTTGAAACTCAGGAACACTCTCCCTAAATCCCTCTGGCTTGCCCCATTCTTCTCCATCTTCAGGTCGCGCCTGAACACATGCATCTTCAAGCATGCTTACGGTCACCTCCCCCTGACTCCGAGTCGTGCTCTGACACTGTCGAGCACTCTGGCTAGTCTGCATGAGGGGTGCTATATAAATGCTGTTTTTGTTGTCATGTACAATGAAGCATGAAGTAAACATATAACCAAATGAATATAAATAATTACACTTCTAACCCTAACGTTAAGCTTTTCATTTTACCATTTTAAAATGGTAAAATGAAAAGCTTAACGTTAACTAAAGCAGTTAGTTTTTAATACACTGAGTTACTTTGCATTATTAAAAGGTTTTCTTTAAGATGTACTTATGTGTACCTCAATCATATTTGAGTATTGGAATATAGTATAAGCCACTGTGGTTTATTAACCATAATGCATATTTTCATAAAGATGAGACAAATCAAGCAGGTCAAGGATGTGGACTGCCTTTATTATTCATATGTACATCTGGTTAAAAATAAAGAAATATTCTCAAGAATGAAATGTACCATTATTTGCATCACTGACACCTATGAGTATGTACACTTACAACAAAAAGAATCTGCGCATTCCTCCTAACTTTTTTTTAAAATGAACATTTTCCAGATTGGTAACTAGCATTTAACAGTCTGGATTTTAATAATTTAACACATACATTTGCTTTTAATGGAATTGTCAATTACATTTACTACTGTGATCATTTCAATATCCTGCAATTACTGGATTCTATTCAAGGTGATTGCAACGACATTAACACGGAAAATAAAGTGCTACTTATTAGAAGTAACTATTCTCCGGAGGCGGAATGGGTACATGAGAAGGAAAAACAAATGCCAGTTTATAAAATATTTGTATGTGCAGTAAACATATGGTCCAGTTTTAGATGTTGCCATTTATGGCTCCTACTTGATTCAAAAATAAACATTTTCTTATAAAAAATAGAACACTTCATTAATTTGCCAGAGTAGAAATAAAATTTAAAAAACATCTATTCATAACCTTTTTCTTCTGCAGTTAACATCACAATAAAATGTTACATCAGTAAGTAGAAATGACACAGGACAGGGCTACTGTCTTTAAAATGCAATGCCTCCTTTCTGGCTTTTTTCTGAAGCAGTTCAAGATTCAGTGTGTTTTGATATTCTTGACACAAATCGCACATCTAATATCAGGGCTTCTTTCCGTAGCTGCCAAGAAGGATTTCCTACATTTTTTACCTGGTGAGAAGAACATCCATTGCCATAACGCTCTTGAATTTCAGCTCACACTCGAGCATGTGTATCCAGGTTATCTTGAGATGAAACGACAGGTGGATAGGGTGTTGTACAGTCTAGGTTCACATAGGTTGCATTCAATTGTATGTAATGATCCCCGGTAAAAGTGGAAAGGATTGTTGCTATTTTTGAAACCAGTTCAGAGAATGCCGGTCGCATTTCAGGCTTCGGGTGCCAGCATTTCAGCATGATATCATATCTGTCATTTAGAAATAAAAGTAAGGTCATGTAATAAGTTAGGACATGTTAAAAAATGCATGGCCCTGTTGGTTTATGAAATAAATGAGAATAATAAGGATAAAAATCCTTCATTTGATATACCGCCTTACAAGCTGGCTGAACGTCTAAAAGCGCTTCACAGGGTTACTGTAAAGTGTAGTGACTACAGGTGCATTTTACAGGTGAATGTGCCACTGTCCAGCAACGTTACAAGTTCTTAAACCATTCCCGATACATTCAACTTACAATGAGTCAGGGCAGTATTCAGGCTGCAGCAACCTCCTCCCTTTCAATAGGTAGACAGTAATGTCGAATGAATCCACATCAGGATATGCTGGAGCTCCCCGGGTCATTAACTCCCATAGCAGAACTCCAAAAGACCACTAAATAAAATAACAGGTAGAATTACCAAAAAGCCATCAACAAACATGGAAAGACAACCGAACATTAGAGCCATGTACAGCTTCTGCCCATCAATAGTTCAATTCAGGGTATCGACCTTGGTGAGATGGCAGACTCTACCTTGCCCACAAAATACACAATCAAGCCACTTTACAATATATTCTGCAAAGTGCTTTGAGACATCTCAACGGCATGATGATGTGCTATATCAAATGCAAGGACAATTATTTATTATTATCTGCTCCCCCACATGCAGCTGAACTATGAAACGTTGGTCTCTACAGCATGCGAGGGAGTCAGAGAATCCACCGTGAAAAAACACTTCAACAAAAACTTTAAAAGGTTTTATGAAATTATTATTTAATATGCACTCTGCAGTTAAGCTGTTTAAGAAATTATTGATAAAAGCCTACTATTTAAAGCACACACGAGGTGAAATAATCTGTTATTTGCTCAATAAAATATGCAACCGATGACACTGTATACGAATTAGGAGTCTGGATTTGTGAAACAAAACTCCATGTGAATGAGAACCAGTGATACCTTGTTAATCAGTTACTAAAATCCCTCAAAACCCTCCCATTAGTTCTCTTATACAATCTATTTTGTTGGTCACAGTGGTGTAAGAGTTAAACAGATACACATTTATGTTAGCTAACCACAACAAGATAATTCATTCTGGTTTCACACCAGATTATGCGGTTCATCTCTGGAAAAGGTACTTATAAAGTAAAACCTTTACATTGCATCTATTTCAGTACTGCTGACACATGGACAAGTAAGTCAATACATTACCACATCTGACTTTGTGGTGAACTTCTGGGTCTGAAGGCTTTCCAAGGCCATCCACTTGACTGGCAACTTTGCTCCGCTTTTATTGTTAATGCTGTAATATTCCTTCTCATAAACATCTCTTGCGAGCCCAAAATCAGCAACTTTCACAGTGTAGTTTTCATCCAGCCTAGAGTGAAAATGTCAATGATATAACTTTTGTGTTTCACCTCAAACTACAACTACTTGTATTTACATAGCACCGTTCATGTAGTATAACATCTCAGAGCGCTTAAACTAATGAAAGAGAAAAAATAATCCTTGCAATTGATATAGCGAGTTTAAGGTCTGGAGGGCATCTCAAAGCGCTTCACAGAATTTACTGTGAAGTGTACGAGCATGTATTTTGTAGGTGAAAGTGGCAAGCCAGCATGCACGCCACACCCACAGACACTCAAGTTGAAAATCACAGCACTATGAAGGTTAAGGTGTTCAACAAGCAAACTGAAAACAGTCTCTTGAATTATGTTGTCCACAACAAGATAGTTCAAGTAAAGACAGGATGACATTGGTCCCCTTCTGCGCTGTAAACCTTTACGATTTTATAGAAATATGTTTATCTATGGTTACAAAGTGCTTGTTAATGTCTGAAAGAATTCACAGTAACTTCATTGGCCACAATGTGCAAATCTTTATTCTAAAACACATTATTGTACGAAAGCAGACAACATAGGTTTGGGGAAGCAAAGTTATCACATTTACACATGACTCATTTTCATCTTCATACTCACATGCAGTTTCTGGCTGCAAGGTCTCTGTGAACAAACTTTTTGCTTGCAAGGTATTCCATGCCTTGTGACACTTGGACACCAAATCCAATAAGATCCTTCACTGTTGGATTCTGAGATACAAAAAAATCTGAGGTTTTCAGAAATAGTCTATAATGCGACTCCGAACACAAGATTGATTTTAGATTAGTGAACCTTTCCCAGTTTTGAACAGTTGTGGTTGGCATTTGAGGAAGGTGCACACGGCCAAAATGACAACTCACAATTACATTAGAATGAATTTGGGGCTATCAATCTTATTACACTCAAAAGTAATATGAAATACACAATGCAATTTATCCAGCTTCTTGTGCAGCAATACACAAGATCAGACGTTAAAATGCGAGACCACATTTTTATAATGAGCCACAAGTGGACACCACAATGTTTCTATTAAGAAGAACTGTAGAAGAAGATTGCGCATGATGATAGGTGAAGAGGACAGAAGAGGAGATGATGTCTTCCGACAAGGTGGCAATGTAGGAGTTTCAAATAGATCACTACTTTTCTTACAAATTCACATCAATTTTGTGCCGTTACTTCTGAGTCTTGATAAAGATGAATCAAAGAACACAGGTACAGAGTTTTATCAATGTCTTTTGGTCAACTTTCTCCCTGCACTTCGCTTGCTATGTATTTTTTACTTACATGACTTTCCTCTCTGATAAAATTCCGTAGGTCACCGTGTTTCATATATGGCAGCACCACCAAAGGGGAGCCTTGGTCGGGAAGGCAGATTCCAAGCAGAGAGAGGACATTAGTGTGCTTGAAATCCTTCATTATTATTCCTTCTTTCAGGAACTGTGTTACTTGATCAATGTCAGTGATTCCTAAAGAAGCAAAGTCAATAATTCCCAGTGAATGATAACATTGCACACATTAAAAGCTGTTTTTAATAATTTTATTAAAAATTAGTACAAGTTACAAGATTGTGTTGGATGGAAGTCACTTAAACAGTGAAGTACATTATGAATCATTCTAGAGTTAATGTTCTAATCACTTACTATTGAGGCACTTCACTGCACAATGTGTGCTCTTTCCATCTTGGGTCAGGAGCGTTCCATGGAACACACATCCAAAGTGGCCTGTTAAATTTAAGCAAATTAAAATACAAAAACAAAGTGAAACTTTTGACACAGGAATTGATTGTTGTAAATATCAACAATCAACAACAATCGGTTATGTTGATGTCAAAGTACATGCATATCGAGGATCTTTGTGAAGAGCAAATTCAAATTCAACATGGCAATTCATTTAAGTCTGGTGAACCTTAGTCAATAATTTCAGCCTTCATACTAATGGTGCACTGTTACAAGGGGTTTATTTAGCTGGATTTATTCAAGGTATAAAAGTTAGAGTGAGGTAGCCAATTGATTCTCTCAAATTTCTTGAATAGTCTGTTTCCAGCTTGCTGTTGGAAGTGAGCCTTGGGGAACTAATAATAATCCTTGCATTGATATAGACCTTATCACATTGTTGAGACATCTCAAAGTGCTTCACAGGATTTTACTATGAAGCGTAGTGACTGTCTATTTGTAGGCAAATGTGGCAGCCAATTTGCACACACGAATGTCATACAAACATACATATGAAGCGAATGACCAATTTTATTTGGGAGATTGTTGGCTAGGCCACTGGGTGGAGAATCTCCCTTCTCTTTTGAATACTGCCAAAGGGATCTTTAATGTCCACCTTAACGGGCAGACGGAACCTTGGTTTTAATGTTTAATCCGAAGAATGGCACCACCAACAATGCAGCAACCCTCCCAGCACTAGAATGGAGTGTGATCTTAGATTGTGAGTTCAAAGTCCTGTCATCAGCCAGTCTGATTTAAACATCCCACTCCTCCTTGCGTCACCGAGGAAACTGTACAAAAGCTAATACACAGAGTTTAACCCATGCACAACTTAAGTTTGTCTTTTTATCTCAACAGAACGTCAAATTTAATGTTGTTTGGGTCGGCAGCAAAGCCTCCTTCAACTCTTGCTTTTCAATATTGCAGTCCAGGGATTAACTGCAGCAAGGATGGAGACTGAAATCCAGGAGCATGGGCAATGTATTATTTGTGGGCATTTCATAGTCAAGAATACTTAAGTTAAGCTTTGCCATCATTCTGTATAGGTACAAAGATAATAAGGGATCTGCCCCAGTTTTGAAGGCAGTTTTGAAAACACTCAGATACAAATGCAGCTCCGTTTTTTGCATCCTTGATTTTGAGGCATGAAATGTTTGAAACTTGCCTCTTCCGATCACCTCCGAAGTGTGCATCATGAGCTCCTCGGAACTAACAACCATATGCTGCACATCTTTCAGCAACTCCGAGTCCAAGCTGCCGATGTTTATGTTCACCTGTGTCTGAAGCAGTGGCGTAGTTGAATCAGAGTCTCCACTTGATGCTATGCAAGTCAGGTCGGAATGAGAAAACTGAGCTTGTCTACGGGCTGCTGCTTGTGTCAAGTTCTGGAACTGATCTGTACATAAACATAACACAGGGACAATTCATCTTCAACCGAAGAAGTCACCTTACACTCGACAGCCCCTTGAAGTAAATGCCCAGTAGAACATAAGTCCAAAGACAAGGCGGAGTCAAATTGGATGCAATTTGAAGTCACAACAGGAGAAAAGGTGAGTCACTCTAATTGTTCAGCATAGTAAACTTTATCCAAATATAGCATTTTAGCTCATGCTTCACATCACTTTGTGGCTGTTTGTGGGACATTGCTCTAATCATATTGGATACTGCATTCACTCCCAAAATACGTAGTGACTACATTTTACAGTATGTCCTGCAAAGTATTTGGAGACGTCCACTCGACATGAAAGCCACTACATCGAATGCAAAAGCATTAATTTATTATTAACGTCCAGCATTCAACTATAGCATGGATGGAAACTCAGAGTGAGAAGTACTATGATAGGCAAGATTTCAATCATCAGGAAGAACAGACCGCATATAAACAACTGCAGCCTTGTGCCCCAGTCTGTCCTATCTGGAAGCCAATAAGAATCTCACACCTGCAGACAACCAGAAAGGTCCTACCTCTCGTCCACCTAAACACCCTACCAGCCACACATTGCTTCAATCTCACCCACATTCGAGACAACTTTTAAACATAAAGAATGTATGCTTCTCTTTCTATTTCTTTTGTGAATTAAATCCATACCTTCCTGAAGAGTTGTCCTATAGTCAAAGGACTCATGAGAGATCATTTCTGCAGTTACGCTGTTCCTTGTTCTCGTGTTGACAAGCCTGTCCAGGTGGAGAGTGTGCGTTCCTCCATCATAACGCACTACGCCTGTGTTTGTGGCTGTAAGAAAATAAAATCCTAAAGTTGTACAATAATACATAAGAAAGTTCAAACCTAATAAGGGTTGAAATAATAAGAATAATAATCCTTGCATTTGATATTGTGCCTTATCACGTCTTCGAGACGTCTCAAACCGCTTCACAGAATATATTGTAAAGTGATTTGACTGTATATATTGTGGGTGAAATGTAGGAGCCATTTGGGCACAGCAGTGTCCCACAAACAGTCATGGATTGAGTGATCAATTTATTCTTTTTTTTTGAAGGAATTATTACCCCCAGAAAAGCGATCCGCCAATTGACTAACAACCGGGTTCCTACTTACTGCTAGGTAAACAGAGGCATGTAGAGTAAGGAAACTTGCCCAATGTTTTGCCCTACTGGGAATCAAACCCAAGTATCTTGCCTGCGAGGCGAGTGCTCTAACCACTGAGCTACAGGACTCCACAAGACATGACATGAAGCGGGAGGGGGAGTAAGACAATTGATAAGGAATTTGAACGCATGTCAGGCCGATTCTGCAAATGTTCGCTCGGACACCTGCTCTTGTCGGGTTTCTTCTTTGGTCACAATCCAGCTTTGTGGAAGCAAAGTTAAGACTGGCACTCAAGTGGAGCTGTACTGGGTCGGACTGTGACCTTCTGATCCATGCAGTTACTCTTTTCGAATATCCCATTTTAGAGTCTGACAGAAATATGCATTTTACAGGATTACATATTGCCGCTTTCAGTCAAATAAACACAATTCGTGGATGTGTTGTACCTTTACTTTGTTTCAGTTTGCACATCCAAACAAGCACTCCGAGCAGCAAGATAACTAACAGTGTTATTGAAACCACGCCAATAACTAATCCAGTTACATCCTGATGATTTTCCACAATCTGTACTCTCCCCAGATGAATCGATGTGATGGCATTTTTCCACTGAAACAATAAAGAACAAAATACATTATCTAAGAACTCAAGCATTTTAAATGTATCATTGTTATTGTCTGTTCAATCATCTATATAATAATAATAATAATCCTTGCATTTGATATAGCGCTTTTCACGTTGGGAGGACGTCCCAAAGCGCTTCACAGAACACACTGTAAAGTGAATTGACTGTATATTTGTGGGCGAACGCGGCAGCCAATTGCGCACAGCAATGTCCCACAACCAGTCGTAGATTGAAAATAACCAATTTAATTATTGTTTTTGGTTTTTTGGAGGGATTATTATTAGGCGTGTGGAGTAAGGAAACTTGCCCAAGGTTTCGCCCTGCCTGGAATTGAACTCAGGTCTCTCACTTGCAAAGCGAGTGCTCTAACCACTGAGCTACAGGACTCCACTAATGCCAAATTTCCTGGAGAGTTGGTTTAAAATTACAACTCAGTCCTTCCTTTCATTCTCTCCCTTTTCTCCACTTTCAGATGAACTGAAAAAAACAAGAGGATAAGGCCACAGGTTGAGTGTGAAGCTTGTATTGAGTCAATGAGTAACGTGCACACCTGTGTATATCAGTTTATCAGCAGAGGTCAGGACACCAGGAAATATTTTACATCCAGGGTAAACAAACACTGGAACAGGTTATTAGATGTGTATGAGGCCAGGGTTTTAGACTCATTTCTGGCCTGTGATTAGAAGATGATAGAATGGGTATTCTGGAAGGATGAGATCAAATGGGCCAACTGCCAACTGAACCTCTGCTGCGATCTTAAAATATCTTTGATCCTTCCCGCAAAAGGCTAGGCTTCCAGTGTGAGTGTGGACAGTTAAACATCGTCAGGCTCAGCAACTGTGCTGGTGGTGCATCACAGTCACACCTGAACCATCTTCAACTGATATACACAGGTGTACACCTTACAGAGGTATGCATTGGATAGTCATGAACCTGCTTGATTTTTCCCATTTTCTAACCTGTGGACACTTAGGCCAAACAGGCTCACTGACTCAATACAAGCTTTACATTGTCTTTCTTATCAGTATGTATCAGCATCATGCCAAGTGGTCCATTTATCCACTATAATCAGTAGAAAAGCTTCAACAATAAGTTTCTAAAAACGTTTCTCTGTGTTACAATGCCCTTTAAGTATAAATATTCCACAAGATTACAAGGGAGACTTGGATGATGAAGGGCCCTTTGGTCCATTTGATCTCAACCTTCCCTCCCATTATAACATCAAGCTGTTTAAATCCAGTGACTAGGACTCCACCACCCTTCGGTCGGTTGAAGCCAACCCCCTCAAAGAAATTATTCCTAGTGTCTGTCCTTAAATTGTCCTTTACAACCCTGAACCCGTGCCCTCTTGTTCTGCGCTCTTGATATATCTAAAAGTATTTTGACCTTTAACTCTTGAAATATTCCTTTCCCACTCCCACCACCAAGACAGCTGCTGTTGGGTTATTGGATGCATGGTGGCGGAAGGGATCACATACCAGGATACAGATCAGAACTGTAGACAACATCTACAAACAATATTTAGAGAGCATTATTCCATGCACATGATTGTTTCTGACTGCCACAAAGTAACAGGACAATTTATAATTTACATAAGCAGTCTCCTACCTCTACATCCAATTCATTCCCTGTAGACAGAAGATCCCCTGGAACTATGCAGATTAATCGGTTTGGTTTTAGTCGTATTTGCTCACAGCTCCGGTTCCCAATTGTTAGGACTCTCCCGTTAACAGCTTCAGGATCAATCTCACCTTCAAACTAAAAACAAAGAATTTAAAGGTGAGAATTTAGGTTGTAGATCAATCAGTGCTAATACAAATCGAGTTCTGCCTTCTTCATTATCAGTTAAACATTAAAAAAATTCCATGTTATCTTGGTCATGGTTGTCCAAGTAAGGTACAGTGGTATAAAATGTTTCAACTGAAAGTGAGGAGACATATGAATAAAACTAATAGTTAAATAAAACATGGCTTTGAGACACCACCAACAACTTGAATTTATATAACCCCCGTCATGCGGAGTAGCATCTTGGAGCACTTGAAAGGATATGATAACTTATTGCATCAAAATGTTTGAAAACATCTAACATGCATTGCTACTTTGAACAGTAGCAATGAGTATATAGGCAAGGTGGGAGCCAATCTACACCAGCAATATATTGCAAGCAGCAACTGCTGTTGGCTATGGGTGCGTGTGTGGGGAGGTGGGGAGGGGGTAGAATGTTGCCCAAAACGCTGCTGCTGTTCAGAGAAAGGTAAATGTTTTTAGGAGCCAATTTGTAGCCAGAGAGTGAAGTCTGCACAAAGCACTATAGAATAGTGAGGTCTTCTGCCTTCTGCTTGACAAAATGAGCACAGCATGATAAACGAGAACTCCTGTGGTTTTATGAGTATTGGGAGGCAGGTTGGTGAATTTGGATGAAGGAGAATTGATTATAGATCAGGACACTGGGTAAACACTTTTGCTCTTCTTCAATATAGTGCCTTTTGACCTGGACCACCAGAGCTGACAGAAGGGCCCTTTCAATCAAAGGACATAAAACTTGGATTATAAAGTGGTCTTTTCCCTCAGCCAGCCCTACAGTGTCAGCCTGGATCATAAGAACATGTAGTGGCATGGGAGCTTGAACCCAGAGCGCTCCCAGCTGAAGCATTGTAGAAATTGTGTTACAAAGATAAAAACTGGAGAGACAATACTCCTTTTAAAGGGTCACATTGCCACAGTGAAAGTGTGTGTGTAAAAAAAACACTTTTTTTTCTGGGCAACCCAGAAATGAAAGGATCTCTGTTCACTGAACAGCTTGGCCTGGTCATGTGAAGCAGTGTTAATGTCATGCTTTATTGTTATAAACCACTGAGCTAATCATAATCCCATAACATCAGCGCTACAAAGAGCGCATTTGATTTCTTCAGATAATTTGCCAATTGTAGCTGATGACCTCAAGCACTTTGTACAACAGGAAGCTGTGAAAAACAGAGAAGGTTCTTTTTNAAAATAAATTACTAAGTAAACTACAGCTGTATCATATCTTATTGTGGAAAGTCATGATCTAGCAATTCATTCACATATCACGTCTGCATCTGTTTGCTGAGAGATTCCTCTGCTTTCAGATAAGCAGTTTTTTTTCCAAAAATCTTGAAAGAACTAGAAAATAATAATAATGATAATAATAACTCTTACATTTGGCATAACCCCTTTCAAATCAGGAGGATTTCTTAAAGCAGTTCACAGCATGCTAATAATACACCTTGCATTTGATATAGCAACTTGTTACACCATGAAGACTTCTCAAAGGACTTCACAGGATGTACAGTAAAATGGATTGACTGTATTTTGTAGCCAAAAGTGGCAATCAATTTGCACACTTGTAATGTTCCACAAACAGCTGTGGAGTGAATGACCAATTTTAGGGGTGATTGTTGGCCAGGACACCAGGAGAAACTCCCTTCTCTTTTCAAATAGTGCCATGGGATCTTTAAACGTCCACCTGAACAGAGAGAAGGGCATCAGTTTAACATCTCATCCAAAGGAAGAATAAATCAGGTACTAAAGTCTCCCAAGATTTCACTCTGCTTACGTTAATCTCCAGTGCAGTCCCGATACCCTTCGTGATGACCTTCGGAATTTTGAACGTCTCAAACAAAGGGTCCTTCACAAAGCCAAAGTGAAAGGAAGCCACAGTGACATTATTGAAGATGAAAGATGCTTTGGCTGCGGTAGGTTCAAAGTGATTCAGCGAAGGAGTTTTACAGTAAATGACCTTCAAGTTATCCCTGTATTTGCAGCTCTAGTTTTAAAAGAAAATACAAGATGTTATTTATTAGTTTTACGCCGGTCTTTAAATTCTATCTTCGGCAAGTCGAGAATTACCTGTGTTTTTCCGAATAATTCAGAACGGGATGCTGACAGAAGCACATTCATAGACTCCAGCACACTGTTCATAAGTCATCACAACAAAATAAATGTCATAAATGGGTTGACACCAGAGAGACAACCAAGGCTTCAGAAATATTTAGTCAGATTTATTATATAAAAGAAGTATTTCATTCACGCAACTGCCTCTCCCCATTTTAGCTATTGCATCACATAGGGAGGGAGATACTATATCTTTGGTTTATTTTTAGTGCGTTATAAAGTTAAGACACTCAGCTTAGGTGTGGCAATCAAATTAAAGTACACTCTCATATAATGGGCAAGTCAACTGGGAAAATAATCATACTCATCCATTTAAATTTTCGGATGTCTAGTCTGTCTTGCAACTAATTCAAGTGTTCATAGCAGATGCAGAGAATCCTCAGCTCTGTGGGCTGGCCATTACTTTATATTAGGTTTGCCGTTCATATCCAGTGATATTGAAACATAATCCATCATATTTATAGAGCTATTTGGATGTCAGGAATAACTTTATTAATGTAACATTGCCCATATGAAATTAAAACAGGCACTTAAAACATTTTACACTTTTGCTTCTATCTATCCAATTTTACCTTCTCTTTTTTAACTCTTATCTTTATTTTATTTGACTTGAAGATGGTAACTCCCTGCTCGCTACAATAATAATTGTAGACAGCAATTTCTGGAGCAAACGTTTAAAATACTAAGATGAAATGTTCCCAAAAGTTCCTAACGCTAGTTGAGTGTCATTAGGACCCCTAGGTCTTTAAAAACGAAAGTTGTTTACCAGCATTTGGCACTGTTGCTATGCTTCCTGTTGTGTACCTGACCTTTCTGATTGACCGTTTTTCATTCAACTGAGGTCCCAAGCTATAATTAACAAAACGATCATATCACAAACATCAGCACACCATTGGTTGACTCAATTTTCCAGCGTTTAAAAACCTGATTAGTGATAGAATTCTGCAGTCCCTTTTCTGCCCGTCAGATAACAACAACAACAAGATTCCATTTATAGAGCGCTTTTCACGTCAGGAGGACATCCCAAGGCGTTGTACAGTTGGGTCAGGACCCGAGCACGGGGGAAATGGTCAGGGTGAGGGGAGGGGAGGGAAGGGAGGAAGCGAGGAGGGTGGAACTGGTCAGGGTGAGGGGAGGGAAGGGAGGGAGCGAGGAGGGGGTAGAGAGTCGAGAAGGGAGCCGAAGGCTCAGTCAAAGAGAAAGGTCTTGAGACTGGCCTTGAAGGAGGAAAGGGAAGAAGCAAGGCGAAAGCACTGGGGGATAGAGTTCCAAAGCCTAGGGGCTGAGAGGCTGAAGGCCCGGCCACCGATGCTAGGGCGGTTGGGGCGGGGGATATGGAGCAGAGGAACGGAGAGTACGGGCAGGTAGGTAGGGGGATAGGAGGTCAGAGAGGTAGGAGGGAGCAAGGCCGTGAATGGCCTTGTAGATGAGGATGAGGATCTTGAAATCGATCCTCTGGGGGATGGGGAGCCAGTGGAGGCGAGCGAGAGTGGTAGTGATGTGGTCCCGAAGCCTGGTGCGGGACAGTACACGAGCTGCAGAGTTCTGAATGACCTGCAGCTTGTGGAGGGAGGTGCCGGGAAGGCCGGCGAGGAGAGAGTTCAGCCTTGATAAGCCCACAGTCCAGCTTGATAATAAAAACTTTGTGATTATAGAGAACTGGAGCTTTCTGATCCTCCAGCCCAGCTATTGTTTCCTACATTAGTGCATTTAATTTAGCTAAGAATGAAGACTGGAAAATTGGCAGTGTCTCCTGTGCTTAAGTATTGGAGATGTTAGAATACTGAACTTGCATGAGAACAGCTTTCCCCACTCCACTCACCGAATAATGGAATCTTATTACAGGGCACATGTGGAAAGATGCATTAGTACAAAACAATCAGATTACAAAGTTCAAGATAACAGATTTCAAACCCACTGAGTAAACCAGTTCTGGTTTACAGAACATTTCTGCTGCGTATCAGAAAGTTGCAGTGAAGAAGTAACTGAGATGAATACAATTTAGGAGCAAGTCTGAATAAATGAGCAAAGCCCAAAAGAGAGCACAAAGATTGTCCCCCAATAGCTTATTGAGTTTATCCAGTGAGCACTTGATCCAAATCATTCAAGTATAGATTTACCTGATCTCAGTCAGGGCAGAAATATGGATATTAAAATTGGTCTAAGACTGGTTGGGTTAGTGAAGCGGACGTGGGAGGGGACGGGGACGGGATTCAACGGCAACTTTCTTGGTAACCCGTTCCAGTCATTCATTGGTGTCCGGCCTGAAATTGTCCATTTCAACCCTGATCCAGAGCCATCTTGTTCTGCTGCCTCAGCAAACCTGAAAGCAATGTTCTGGGTTTATTCCCTCAATCTCATTTTCCACCAGGCTCGGACTGGAAATGAATGAATGGTGGGGGGCGAACAAAACAAAAAAACAAAACAACTTACCACGTTAAAGACCTTCGGTAGTTTGTCTATGCTGATAACCATCTTGGGGGAGTGTACGAGATTCAGGTTCCTGCCGCTCACAGTGATTGTGCTACCTCCACTGCAAATTCAGAGGGGAAAGATGAGGTCACATTGTTTAAAACAAGTAACACAAACAGTCCATGGCAAGATTGTTTCTCACCTGGCAAACGACTGGAGAGGATACACATTACCAATAACTGGATTCTCCATATAGGTGAAATTGCTCTTAGCTTTACGCACAGCGGAGTCTATTTTCACAGCTACAGGACACATCAGTATGGAAGAGTGAGGAGGTGTGATGCACTCTATCCTGGTTTCTGAGAAGCTAGAGACACGAACAGCAAAGCAAAAGAGTGGAACATGAGCAAAAAAATTAACTGCAAACCTTGCTTGAGGAATGGTAATTTTATTTTCATTTTTTATAAAAAGTTAGTAGTTATTCTGTTCAGTGCGGATTGGTTTCATGCTTGTTTCTTTTAACATGAACAAAATACACTGATTGACCTGGTTCAAGTGCTCTGGGACGCTGCTCTGCATGAAGGGCTATATAAATGCAAGTTGATGTAGTTGTATCTGTGATACGACTCATCGCAATCTTTAACATGACCTAAATGATTGAAAAATGTCCTTCAGAGCTATTTGCCCACAAAATACACAGTCCTACACTTTGCAGTAAATCCCGTGAAACACTTTGAGACATTCTCCTGACATCAGGCACAATAATTTGTTCTTGGTTTCAAATTCTATTTCAAAGTTGTAACAAATTTCATGAATGGAGATTATTTTCAACTTAAATACAGTTATGAATAAGTCGACTCTGGTATAACACAGAAACGCTGTCCGATGTGAAGGGCGCTATATAAATGCAAGTCGTTGTGTTTTGGTTAATAAACTCAGATCCTGCATTATTCAAGACTGAGATAGATAGATTTCTTATTGCAAAAGGGATTAAGGTATATGGGGATAAGGCAGGGTTAAGTTATTAGCTGGAGTTACATTAGAAGATCAGCCATGATTGAATCTTGGGGCAGGCTTGAAGGGCCGAATGGCCTACTCCTGCTCCTACATGTTATGTTAAGGCACGTCACGTCGACGTTAACATTATTTCCTGCGCGTCACATGTGAGAGATTACACTGGTTGCTATACCATGTGGCACCAGGAGGAATTCTGTGTCTATTGGCAGGTAGCCAGCCAGGGAGTGTATTGCACTTTTGGTATACCATGCGTCCACAGGGTGACTGAGCCATAATAGGTTCGGCCTGTAGTTGGAAAATATTAGCATTAAAAAAGTTAAAATAAAAAGGGAGTCTTGAGGCCTGAATCTCCTAGTTTTATCTTATAAGACCAATATGTAATTCACCTACAAAACACTACAGAAATCCTGACAAGTGTTTTGAGACATCCTCCTGACGTGAAAGGCAATAGATCAAATGCAAGGATTGTTATCATCATCATTATCAGTGTGTTGTTTTATTCTGTTTAAATTGTGTGTAGACAGCTAAATGCTGATGATATTGATGAGACTTGGTGACGTTCTGAGAAAACTGAATTGTTATGCATGAAAAGGACTTAATAAATCTCCCCACATACACTGATCAGTGCTTTGGGATGCTACCCTTTGTGAGGGGTGATATATAAATGCAAGTTATTGTTGATCACCACCTCTGGAATTCCATCCCCCAATCACCCGCCTCGCCCCCTCCTTAGCCTCCTTCAAGTCCCGCTTCAAGACCCTCCTTTCGACCATGCCATCGGCCACCCCCTTTCCCCTCCCCTCTCCTCCCCCTGACCCCAGCTCGGGTTTGAAATGCTGTACACTGTCCAGCGCTTTGGGACATCCTCTTGACGTGAAAGGCGCTATACAAATGGAATCTTGTTGTTGTTGTTGTTGTTGTGAGGCTAGGATCTTAGAACAGATTAACTAGTACTGTTGGATTGAGCTCATCGTTACATTTTTAAGACATGAAAGTCAAAAGTAGAATTATAATTCACGGGGCGTAACTTTTCAAAACATTTTGATGGTGAAAATTCTTTTTATTCAAGAACTAAATGAAATTCACAGAAATAACATGCTGTAAAAATGTTATTAATATCTTGGGAGTGTTAATAGAACACCTTGGCATATTCATAAAAGGTAACACCCAAAATAACTGGACACTCGCAAATGATCTCTGTTCCCATATCAGGGAATGATTGAAGGCTCTGGGAATGTGAGTGTTCCTACAAAGCACGCCACTAATATCTCCGGATGCAACTCTCTCCATTTTAATGAGTTGTTTTTGTGGAGGTTGGAAGCGTTCCCATTCACAGACTTCAAAAGAAACATAAACTCGGTAAGTCAGAGTAGCAAAGCTAAAGATTTACGCAGAATTTCCTTTCCTCCTTAAAAAAAATGAAATGAACTCAATGAATGGAGGTGGAATGAGCACAAAGAGAGCTCAGTGAATGCAGGACTGCATGAGTTAATTACATTTAACAGTTCCTTTTGAAACTGAATTGGATAAATATCTGAAAAATAAAAGTATAAAAGGGTGTGTGTGTGTCTGTGTGAGGAGGGAGGGAGGAAGGAATGGACTAAATGGATAGCTCTTTCAGAATAGATGGGACAGCACTTTGGATCTCAAGGCACAATGGACCGAAAGCTGTGAAATCCTATGAAAACACTTTCTATGACACTAGGGGGAAGCAACTGAGTTCAGTGCCAGTGAAAGAACTTCCAATGAATAGATTTAGCCACAGAAACTCTGAAGCACACTTCACATTCTGTGGAGGCAGTGCAATGATAAACTCAAAGTCTCATACAGTGCTCTGAATACAAAAATGAAATTGAGTGCACTCTCCCCCACAGTAATCTTTTTTTTGTCACAGGACTGGAGCTAAAAAGAATGCAACATCGCAACACTGTGGAATTCCATTAACACCCGAGAAGTCAGTTCCGAAGTAGATTACGTCGGAGTGGAGTTCCCCCGGGTCGATGTGACATATATCCTGGTTTCTGGAAGGAATCCCTGTTTGCGCAAATCGGATTCCTTACCATTAAGAAATACCGCAAATTGAACCCTAACCTAATTTTGATTAATCGGGTAAGAGTGAGGCACTAAACTAGATTGTGAAATAATGCCTAGTTATTAACAGAATTTACGTTCTAGGGAAAAAAAGCTTCAGTTATAGTGCAATTAATCCCTTTCACCCCGTCAAGTAGTGTCAGCAACTATACTAGGGGACCCTATAATCCTAGTGTAGTATTCTGACCCCAAGGATCAGAATTGGATCCATTCTACAATAGACATTCAGACTTATTGGGAAGGTTTTCAGCACTCCGAGATGCTACAAAACATGCAAAAGGCACTATATAAATGCAAGTTGTTGTTGTTTTGCCCAATAATCAAATTGTCAAAATGAGGGCTTATTTATGTCAGTCCTATGTTTGGACACTAGATGGAGCAGTTGGATTGTTGCCTCTCCATCTTATCCTAACTGATCATCGGTGAAGTAAAGCTAGTTGAAGTTCAATGTTTGAGAAATCTTCTCCCTTTGCTCTGATCTGCCAAAGTATCCTGGTCCTCACTCTCTCCGTCTCTCTCACAGCAATGAGAGCAAGCTAAATGTACAGGTTCAAGGTTGTGGAGGGCATGTTTAGGACAGAATCCAAGAAGCATTCACTCACCCCCAATCTCCTGGAATTGTAGTAAAGGTTCACATGGCTTGAAGTGACATTATGTGACATGATGCACATCTGGTTATGGCAGGATTCCAATTTGGTGCAACTCAACCTCAATACAGAAATGAATATCGCACAAGTGCTACATCAATTCACTTGAAACCACTTTCACGGGAAAATTGATTATTGCCAAGGATCTTGCTCTAGATTACAAGGTTGAGAGGTTGTGTACATGCATGTACCTTTTCAGATCACACAATTTTGCTCCAATTAAAACCTCCCTTGCACTTCCACTGTTCAGGTGGTTTCCTGTGACAGTAAGTAAGGTTCCTCCTGATTTTGGTCCATGAGTTGGGGAGATGCTCATTATAATTGGATTCTGCACCAAAAAGAGAAAAAGAGCAGTTAGCATCTTATTTAGTACCAGAAACACTTCTGTCTGAACACCATTTTTTCATTGCCATAATTCAGAACTACTTTTATTTAGCACAATATGTTGGGTCTTGGAACTCATAGTGTCTAGACTGATATTGCAATATAATTCTGTGGAAATGCTGAACTGTTGGAGGTACTGTCTTTCGGATGTGATTTGAGACCCCACCTGTCTGTTCAGGAGGACATTAAAGATCCCGTGGCACTATTCAAAAAGAGAAGGGAGTTTCTCTCTGGGTTCTGGCCAACAATCCCGCAAATAAAATTGGTCACTCACTTCATGACTGTTTTGGGGACATGGATGTGCACAAACTGGCTGCCCATTTGCCTACAAATACACAGTCGCTAAACTTCACAGTAAAATTCTGTGAAGTGCTTTGAAACGTTTCAACAGTAAGATGAATTGATGTATCAAGTGCAAGACTTATTATTGTCATAAAATTCTGAAAATCAAACCCACGTTATATAGATTTTAAAATGTTAAAAAGTAATTCTGAAACAATTTCAATAAAAATGCTTGAGAAATCATCCAAAAAGCAATGACAAAAAAACCAGAAGCATAAGCAGATAGTAGCTGTCATTGTGAACCTGTAATGCAATTAAAGAAGCAGTTTATAATCTCTTCAATCTTCTATTGCATTTGTACAGTCTACTCTGACTTCCTTTCATACACTGCTTATGGCTTTGCTGCCCTTCACATTGCATTTCCTGCATGCAAACAGTCTGCTCAACCTGTTGGTAATGGTGGTGTCAGGCTGCTTTGTTTGTCTGGGGTCAGCGTGACCAGAAAACTAATCTCAAAGATCCTTTTGACAGAGATTAAAAAAAGGTTCAAGGAAATTAAAATGTTTTCATTTTAATTTTTTACCACGCACACGTACACACACAGGTAGGAGTAGGAGATGCACATTTTTGAAATAAGTGTGCAATGAGTGTAAATCGCTTCTTGGAATGACTTCAGACCATAGAGAGGCTATTTAAACCTTAGGTGACAGGCTTTATGGATGAATGCATATCGTTTCCAGGACACAAGATTTTTGTTCAAGTGGAACCAAAAATCCATTTGGAACAGATTAAAAATAGGAAGCAACGCATTCTCAGGCTGTGTGGTTTCAATGATCTAGGTTTGAAACAATTTGTGAGCAATGAGGAAATCACTTTCAAGTTTTGGTGGAACAACTGAAAAAGCAATCACTGAAGCAACAATCTGTGTGCAAAGTACAAAGACTGAATTTTCGAAGTATGTTCTTCAGAAGATCTGAAGAAATCTGAAGAAACTGAAATTTCACCTCTGAGATCATTTGGCTTAAGATTTAAGAAGGTGCAGAATTGTGGAAAATTCTGAAATTCCATTAATTTCAAAGCTGGTTTTCTGCAGGTTTCGTTTTGTCAGTTGACTGTCTGACACATGTAGGAAAAACCAATTGCCATGCTTAAGAATACCTAACCCAGACTAAGTTCCACACAGGCATACCACCTACACACTGAAAATTCTCAATGTCTGGAATTTTTTTTAATATCAAAAAGAATTGGAATGCATACTGGAGGGACCCACAACAGGTTTATCTAATTCCAGAGAGTTTTTGGTGTAAGTTGGCAAGAGCCAAAGCTTCGGGATCCCGGAGTATGAGTTAAGGTACTGCTGGAGTTTAACCATCTAACATACTAAGATTGCCATTGTGAGCACTAACTGGCAGATCTTCTGAAGAACATACTTCGAAATCAAGCAGGAATTCATGATTTTTCACAATTCTGTCTCATCTTAAATTTTGTCAAGACTAACTGATAGAACAGATTGAGAAGATGATCTGCAAAGATTTTTGCTATATAATTGCACATACCAGAACAAAATTGTTTTGAAAAGCAAGATTTTTGAAATAAAAATATACTACAAACACATATTTCATCAACAGTTTAGAAATTCTAACAAACAGGAGTTTAGTTGCATAACTTACCACAAAAGAGAATACACCTGCTTGTGTGGACAAGTTCCGGTTTGAAATCACATTAATGTTGACAGGACTATAATCCCAGGTGGGACTAAGGGCTCCCAGTGTGCAGAGGAGTCTTTGGGAGAAGAGAAGAGAAAATAGCATCATGTAAGAGGCATGCAGTGTAAAACAAGATCCAGTCATACCGACTGCAGTTATTTTCTTCAATGTACATCTTGGGTTAAATTGAAGAACACAAAGGCTGAAGTTAAAATAAGAACACATAAAATTAGGAACGGCCATTTGGACCAACAGCCATTGAAACAGACAGTCTTTTGACTCAGAGTCTGTCCCATCTTTTTCGTCACATCATCCTAATGTTTGTTATGTTCTTAAGCCTAGGAGTGAGACTTGTGCCCCACTGTGGCAACTTATTCAACGCTCCGAGATGCTATGTTGGCTGAGGGGCACTATATCATTATAAATTGTTGCCAGTGAATGAGTTCACTGGACTTGCTCTCCCACTTGTGGCAACAAGATATAATTTTCCCTCTGAAGCCACGTATAACAGGTGCTAACACAGAGCTGTTGTACTCACCTGTTCCTGTTGCTTCTGTTTGCGTCCAGTTTGCAGGGAAACTTTCCAACCTTAATAGACGTCATTCTGGCACTTATCCTTCCCGATTTCAGCGTTGCAAAATCTCTTCCGCAGATAGATAACTTTGTTCCACCCTCTATAGGACCACTTAATGGGGAGACCTAGAAGTATTTAAACTTTAGTTAAAATACTACCACAGACATTCAAATAGTGAAATAATTCAAAGTTAAGACAAATATTAAAAGAAAAATACAATGGAGGGTATTTATAACAAGGTGAACATTTACATCGCTTCACTTCAAGTGTTAATTTGTTTTCTTAACGCATATAACTGGCCACAATGTATTTTTGGTAAAAGGTGCAAGATATTTGTTTTCTCCCTAGTTCTCGCCAGGACACGAGCCAGTCACTCATTAGGGAGTGAACCAATGATTTGCAGGACGCCTCTTTCCTCAGCTCCTGGTGAGAGGGATTCCCAGCTGGTGATGACCTCACTTTTCATCAGGTCATCGACCTGAAACGTTAACTCATTTTCCCCTCTCCTGACCGGCTGAGTGTTGCCAGCGACTTCTGTTTTTATTTCTGAGTCACCCCGTTTTGAATCGGAGGCATTAAAAACATGCACACAAACATGAACATAGGGATTAAGCAGCTCTGACATAACATAACTCTTACTGATGCCATTTGCACCCTCAAAAAAGTTGTACATTTGCTTTGTGTGATCACTCCTAGTTTGAGTTAGTATAGAGGAGCATGACTGAACTTCAGCTAAAATTGATGGATATTTACTGCTGGGCAGCGACACAATTCAGATCTGTTACAACAGCAGAAAGTCATACCTCACTGATGACTGGAAGGCAGGTACTCTGGGTCCATGTCTTATTTATGCATTCCTCCCTTCGGGAGCACTGATCAGTGCACCACCCACACTGCATTAAGCTAGAAGCTGTCAGACACTTACTGCAGGACAAGAAGTGATCACACCCTGGCCCCGTTAGAGGCATTTTGGTAACCTGATGAGAAAAGCCAGGCAGAGGAATTTGTAACTCATCTACGTACACATGTTAATACATCACTAAAACGCTTCAGGTACAGTTCAGAGTACAAAAAGTTAAGATTCCTAAAGTTACCTTTGTTAAAACAGAGGCGTCTTCAACCAAGACTTTTTAAAGGCAACATTAAAGGAGGCTTCACTTTTAAAAGCAGTAAGTCAAGGTATTCTGTTTGCTATGGTTTCACCTGCTGCCCGTGTGAAGTGAAACTTACCCTATTGCCTGTGAGAACAATGATGTAACCTTTTGGATCTGCCGTCCGTTCAACCAGGACAATAGCGGACACTGGGCTTGCATCAAGTTGGAAATTAACGTGGGGAGTCGAACGTTCAATGCGTGAAACCACCACCTGCAAGGACACAAACGGTGAGTGACTAATCTTTCTGAAGTTGGTGAATATCAGGGTTCAGCAGCGTGAAGACATCAACATCAAAGAGAAAAATCTGTCCAACATCAAGTCCCCCACCCACAAACACTTTCTTCTGAATCAACTTTACCAGTAGAATATCCCCCCCTTTCCTCTCCTGCTGGCTCTGACTCATGCTGCAGGACATTTCCACTGAACTCTTCATCCTCCCAATCCTTCCGATCGCCCAAGTTCCTATTCTTCAATGAGTGTTGGCAGGGTGGTCAACAAAGTTGGTGGAGTGCCTCAGCCAAATCTGACCTTGTCCACAACCAATATTGCCCACAAAATATACAGTCAATTCACTTTACAGTATATTCTGTGAAGCGTTTTGAGACGTCTCAAAGACCTGATAACATGCTATATCAAATGCAAGGATTATTATTATTATATCCACACCCAAGCACTTTCCAGAAGGTTTTAGGAGCAACCAAGCATGCGATATTTGTTCTCCAACCCCCCCACCCCTAATGCCTAGGGGGCACTGAGGCCCATTCTAAGTGTTCATAATACCACTCTGACTGACAGTTCACAGAGCAAGGATTGAATTTGGTCTATATCGTTCAGTTCCACCCTGGCTTTTACAAACTGAAAAATATAAAATAGGATCTGAGCCCTGGCGATATACGCAGATAGTAATTGCATTACGTCATTGAAATTTGCAGGTAGAAACTGCCTTTGAACAGGCTGGAACATTAAGAATTAAATAAGGCAGGTAAACAGTAAAATAGTCCTATCTGCCTAGACCTAATGGAAACACATCACAATTCCACTTCCACGGTGAGTGTTCACAGCGTGAAATTCCGGCCCATTTCACATGTGGTGCCTTTGGTGTTGTGCGATTATAAAGGGAAAATCCCATTAGTGGTCAACATTGTCAATGTTGCTACACCCAATGTCAACCAGGATTTTGGACCATCAATAACTTATGATGGCTGATGTATCCAGTTTGGAGCAATCCCTTTCTGCGTGAAACCAAATGCAGCGCTAATACATGGTGTTCTCTTACAATGTGGTTTTCTATGAAGGGCAGTACTACTACATAGCAAATTCATGTCCACCACAACATTTGCCACAGTTAAAAGGTTCTATATGTAAAAGTTCGATTGGACAACAAATGGCAGAAAGCATTTGGTGGCCACATGCTCTGCGCAGAATCTCACAGAACACGGCACCAGAGCTCTGCCACACCGTCAGGCAGAGGACAGCTATGTGCCTTGCAGGGAAACAATGAAACTTGAGGCAAAAATATACAGGTGGCGGTGGTATGTGTGCATGGGGCGGGGTGGGGGGGGCGGGAGGAACTCCAGAAAAAAAATCATGGATCGTTCAGTATCTGGCTCCAAATGTGCCTAGATCTGAAAACAAATCAGTTTTGTCATTCCTGTTAAAAAGAAACAAAATCTAGACCCAAGGTGAGAAAATGAGAAATTAAAGGAGATGGAAGAAAAGGGCAAGTCATAAGAACATCGTAAATCCACCCTAAAATGTTCTGATTGCTTACATGTACCTTTTCAATCCTCCTAAGCAAAGCACTAGAACTTTAGCGAGGTCTGCATCATACTGCGGCAGGAAAGAGCAGTGATGTGTATAGCAAGCCATTGCTTTGTGGAATTATTGATCTTAGCTTCGCTGCCATATGTAAGAGACACAGAGCAGATCTACTGGTGTGCAAGACAAGCAAAGCACATATATTGGTGTGCATGAGATACTGAGCACTGTTCTACTGGGTGCTTAACAACAACAATTTGCATTTATATAGCGTCCCTCACACAGGGTAGTGTCCCAAAGTGCTTCAAGAAGCACGGAGCAGAACATTTTTTTTACAGAAAGGAGAGGCAAAGAATATAAGGAAGAGGTCACCCCTGACGTCATTCTCCCACACCTTCCATGCCTGGATGGAGAGCAGCACTAGCACAGGCTTGTGGGCTGCTCACTCAGAATGGATGGGTGACCTGAAAAGAGGGAGAAAATAATAGAACAAATGGAAAGCTTAAAGGCTTGTGAGTGTCTTACTGATGCAGGGCAACTGGCCACACAACACAGAGAAGTGCTTGCCAAAGTATTACAGTCTCTTTCACAGTCAGTGAAGGTTGAGAATATTGAAATAGCTGCTTGTTCAAACAAGACAATAGGTGAGCATTACTCATTAGAATTCTGGCAAACATGTTGTTTAACTCACCTCGGCAACAATTTGCGGAGAAATCATACCTCTTTGGATGTTTGGGGGAGTGTGGAGGGGTGGGGGGGTTGTGGTGGCAGGGACACTGAAGTTAGATGAACCAAGCTAGTAATCTGCATTTTTAATGTCCAAAACATCAGCCACAGGAATACAGGAATGGCTGAACCCACCACGGTGAGATTCTATCATCACCCCGGGGTGAGGGATAACAACCTGGCAGATGTACTCAAAATAAGTATAGCTTTCAGTTTACATTTTAACTGCATAATGAGTGCGCCACAGTTTCCTTATAAAATCACTAATTGCAGTACAATAGTTGCACCCGAAAGCAATAGTAACCACAGCCAAAGTAATAAAACCCAAAGCAAGCATGTGGCTTTGAACAGCTCCCTGTAGCTAATAGACAGAGAAATGCACTTCATTCCTTCCCTTCTCAAACAGGGTTAAATATTGGACCAACAATGAAAGGTTGGGAGGATAGTACAGGATGATGAATGCCTATCATATGAACCCATTTTTTCATTGGCAATACAACAATCAAAACTAGAACATGTTGTATCAAATGTGTGGAGGGACACAAGCCCATGCCTGTGAATATTTTTTGAGATTTATGAGGCAGGTAGCTAATAAAAGGCTTTGTGCAACAGAACATGGCTCCACGAATGTTCATGATAATTAAAGTTTGATTAATTACAATACAGCTCTGCAAGAATTTCCCACAATACTACTAAAAAGTTCCTACATAATTCCTTTCTCTCCACTGCTGAGTTGCTGAGCAGAAAACTGCTCAGTGACCTTTCCCAGTGCTGAATCCCATCAGGGTAAGAGCAGAGTGATCAGTCTCCACTTATCTGCCAATTTCCCCTTGCTGTCTGCAAAGTAGCGACAGTGACCTGGCCAAGCCTAGATCAGTAACTAACCCCGTGAAGTCTTTCTGGCAGTGACCCCCAAACGATCCCTGTGGGGCACATTGGTACCAATGCACTAAGTTATTCTGATTTGAGAAACAGGGAGATGGGGAATAAGATCAAATAAGCTGAAGAGAATTTTTCAACTGAATCTTTCTTGTGATTTTATAAATGATTCCCAACAATTACTGTACAACAATTTGATTTCCTTTTACACTTGCATGTGGTTGTTGAGTGAAAGCATTATGATTAGAAGTTACAAATGGAAGTAGAGCAGTCAGGTTACTGGAGATTAGAAGCAACTGTTTACCCCAAATTCAACAGATGCAGTTATTGCCAAATAAACAAGTACCGACTCACTGTTTCCTGCTCTTTTAAGTAAGCCTGCCCACATGTGATTCACCGGTGAGACCCATAATTAACAATCTGAAACTCATTTACCTGTTAGATGATTGCAAAACCTCAACGCCCCTTTACAAGAAAAATACTTCACTGTTAGAAAGAACCAAGGTTCAGCTGTGTTGTAAGAAACCACAAGCTCATATTTAAAGAATGACTTGTCTAATTTCATAAACTATTACAGATATGCAACAGCACACCTGCAAAGTTGTTAAATGAGTGGAAAAGCAGAGGTTTTCCTGGAGGTTAACCTGGATGATCTTTAAAAGGTAGGAAGGCAAAGGGAACAAAGCAATGAAATGAAAGGGTTTGTAGGACTTATAACTAGGGGCATAGGATATAAAGCCAAACAGGTGATGCTTAACCTCTACAAATCAGTAGTTAGACCGCAATTAAAGTATGCTGTCCGGTTTTGGTCATGCCCTTTCAGGAAAGATATCAGAACCATAAAGAGAATGCGGAGGAGATTTACCACAATGTTACCAGGAATGAGTGGTTTGACCTAAGAGCAATGACTAAAGAACTGGGCCTATTTTCATTGGACTAGAGAAGATTGAGGGAAATGTAGTAGAGGATTTTAAAATTATAAGGGGTTTTGAAATTAGATAGGAAGAAATTATTTCAACAGATCGATGAGTCAGTGACTAGAGGACATCCATTTAGGATAGTTAGTAAAGGGGGAGATTAGAAGCATTTATTTTTACACAGAGAGTTATTAGGAGTTGCTAGGATATGGAATACCCTTCTGAGGGTAGTGGTTGATACAGGCTCCATATTAGCTCGAAATCTCTGTACTACAAATTTCCATAGTTCTAAAGTAGCGTACAAAGGATTCAATACCTCATTCTAAGACTGAGCAAGCCCAAGATTTTCACTGTTGCTATCAAGTGTGAGCTTAGTCAAATGAATTATCCTCAATCACATTGATTTACAGAGCAAGCACTATTACCGATCAGTCCAGTCACTTCTAGTCATTTGAGGATCAATAAAGTTCTCAGCATTTAGACTCTAATGCCTGGCTAATACTGGGGGCAACCAGTATCATTCCACTTTGATGTGGTGCAAGACAGCGTGGGGATTTGTTCCACTCTCTCACCCCTTCGCTCTCCTCCCCTCTCCAGTACACAGACTGTATTTTAAGAAAATATAAAAGCTTTTTTGTTGGCAGAAATCTCCTAAAAGAACAATTTGTCTCCACCAGTAATGTGGCCAAATAAGCTCTTCACTTTTTCTTAAGGGCATGTACTTGAGCTCGTTTCAGGAGGCCCCTTTTCTTTTTGTGACCTGGTCCAGCAATAGTGGGGTGCAAGGGTTAAAGATGGGAACGAAGAAGCAAATTATCACCTCCTTCTGCAAGAGAACCCACTAACAACTTTGAAATGATGTTCTTTAAATAACAATATTAGTAACAATGATCTTTGCATTTGATATAGCATCTATCATGTCGGGAGGACATCTTAAAGCACTTCACAGCATACAGTGTAAGATTCAGTGACCAAATTATTTTGTAAGCGAACTGAATAAGGGGAATACTTTGCAATGCAATGCATTGTACTGAAGTCCCATTTTTAGTGCTTCTTTGCAATTCACATTCATTCCATGCTTGTCTTTTTGGCCTGTAACTTGTAGGATTAGTTGTTAACTGGTAGGACTCAATTACAAGAATTATATTCCAGCACCTAGTGAAAACATTACCCAAATTTAAATTAAGTAGGTTTCCTATTAATTACCATTACGCCTTTAACATTCTCTTCCTGCCACGATAACATTTCATCATATTAACATTCAAGGCACAACAAATGTCTCGCTATTGCACACTGCAGGCAGTGAAGACAACTGAAGAGATTAATGAGCCACCATTTGCTGGTAACGTATTCTACTGGCAGTGGGGGGGTGGTGGTGTGGAATGATTGATAAGTATTTTTAGAAATCACAAAAATAACCTCACCATTGTAACTATACTCTGTTTGTAATGCCTGACATTAGCAATGCTGTCAGCATTGAGTTAGAAGCTATTGTTACTGTTATTAAAGCATCGATTTACTTGTGTCTACTCGTGATTTTCACATCCGATTTGCTAAGCATTATTATTTTAGGTTATATCCTGAAACGGGTGGAGTTTATGGATATTAGTTGTCTTTATCAATAACCGGCTTGCTCCAAAACCCTGAGTACTTGCGGCTGATATTTTCTTAGTTTGTTATTTAACAAAACACAATACATCTGTGAATAGACTTCAGAGCCAGGATCGTTGGCTCCTGGCCACCAATAGCTTTTTACAGTGTTTTCACTTGGTTTTCCGACACAATGTATTTCCTAAGGTTGTGATTTTGGCTATGTTTCTTAAGTATGAACATAAGAGAGAACCTTTTATTGCTTCTGTGGCCTGAAAAAAATTCACCCTCCAGCCCAGCACAAGAGGGCAATTTGTACCTCTTGTAATGCTTGTGTTGCTCAGTGCTGCCTTTACGTCATCCTAAGTCACTGACTTAAAACCAGCTATTAAGAGCAAAGTTTTGGCACATGTTGGCCTCTCTTAATTGTGCGAACAGGAGCAAGACGTTCCCAAGATCCATCTCCGTCCCAGTGCACTGAGCAGTCAAAGCCCTACAAATACATTCCGCATTATGGCAACACAATGCAAGGTTTGAACACAAATCAATACATTGTGTGTAAAAAAACAAAGTGAGAGGTTACAAGACTTCTTTCTTTCTCTCTCTCTCTCTCTCTCTCTCACACACACACAGTCATTAGGTTATGGGACTGTGTACTGAAACATAATGGTTGAAGCAAAATCTATAATTGCATTCAAGAGGGAATTAGATAGACATCTGAAAAGGAAAAATGTAAAAGGGTATGGGGAAAGGCAGTAGAACGGGACTAAACAGGTTGCTCTTACAGGGAACTGGCATAGGTACAATGGGTCAAATTCTATGAATGTTCCCCCACCCACCTTTTTTTTTACTGCTGGATACACGTCTTCTGGTCTAGAGCTGACAGCCAATATGCTGGTAAACATAGCCAACAGTACTGGTTACAAACCCCTCAGTGGTTCCTGCTTCCTCCACACCTTACAGCATGCAATGCAAGGTAAGCATTATTAGACAGTGCTGTCCTTTGGTTGAGATGTTAAATCGAGATCCCGTCTGCTTGTTCAGGTGGATATTAACGATACTATTCGAAAAGGGAGTTTCTCCCAGTGTCCTGGCCAACAAATCGGCCAAATAAATCAGTCATTCTCTTTAGGACTGATTGCGGGACATTAAAGGACACAAATTGACTATTGTGTTTGCCTACAAAATACAGTCACTAAACTTTGCAGTAAATTCTGTGAAGCGCTTTGAGATGTCTTCCTAACATGAAAGGTGTAATATCAATGGCGAGGATTACTATCATTAAAATAGTTCAGAGGAAACTTAGTTCTCTCTGTGAACTGTCAAGAAAGGAAGCACGGTTCACTGCATAAATACAAGTTCCATTGTAAATCAGCAGCCTTCAGGAATCACTCAGGGAGGCGAGTGTAGGTATCAGGATTTGTATGTGCACAGTCATTTTTAGAGAACACCAGCATATTGGATAATAGCACGGTGGGGGCAGGGGTGGTGGGGGGAGCTCGAGTCCTGTCTCTAAAGATTGCTGAAGAAGGCTCACCGCCTTTATTGGTACCTTGTCAGGGTAACTCGGAAGGAGCAATAAATGCTGCCTCGCTCCTCCAGTGCCACCCATAACCCAAGACAGGAAATGCATTTTCCTGTAGAATTTCACCTTCACTAGATCAGATGGGACTGAACTTACATCATTCGTGTTTCTCCCATCTAAAGCAGATCAGAGAAAAGCCAGCAGTGTAATCAAGGACTTACCTGAATTAATCGACCCTCAGCAGTTCCCAGATTCGCCACTGTTACCTTGCCCTTGGTGAAGACTGCAATTGAAGTCAATAAAACATTTCGGAATTGTCCAAAAAACAGGTCCAGGCGTTGCACAGAGATTGAGATCTCCATACGGGATCCATCATTGCCCCCTCCACAATAGGTCTCTGATGAGCTCTAGAAATAGGAATTCAAAAACAGTCATAAAAGTCAGACATAATGAGAAAAGTGTTTGCCCAAGATTGTTCAATAAGGCTATTTGTTTGGCAGACTTAAGTCCTCTGCTGTTGTATGTCGGCTTAGACAGATCCAACAATTATTGGGAGATTAGATTTTGCTATATAAAGGTGGCAAGTTTAATGCTTGGATTTTATTAGAGAATTCTAGACTGGCATTGAGATGAACAAAATAATAATAATCATCGTCACAGCAATGTCCCACAACAACCATGAAGTGAATGACCAATTTTATCTTGGGAATTGCTGGTCAGGAGACCAGAAGAAACTTCCTTTTCTTTTCGAATAGTGTTATAGGATCTTTAATTTCTGCCTGAATAGGTAGGTGAACCTCGGTTTAACATTTAATCTGAGGATGGCACTTCTGACAATGCAGCACATCCCCAGTACAATATTGCATTGTCAGTCTGTGTCAGCTCAAAGTTGTGACTAGGAGCTTGAAACACAACCTTTTGACTCACAGGCGAGAGTTGTACTAGTCAGGCTGACACACCATGTTAAAACACAAGGCCTGTGTGGAGTCCTGTAGCTCAGTGGTTAGAGCACTCGCTTTGCAAGTGAGAGACCTGAGTTCAATTCCAGGCAGAGGGCGAAACCTTGGGCAAGTTTCCTTACTCCACACAGAGCCTAATAATAATCCCTCCAAAACCAAAACAATAATAAATTGGTCATTTTCAATCTACGGCTGTTTGTGGGACATTGCTGTGCGCAATTGGCTGCCGCGTTCGCCCACAAATATACAGTCAATTCACTTTACAGTGTGTTCTGTGAAGCGCTTTGGGACGTCCTCCCGACGTGAAAAGCGCTATATCAAATGCAAGGATTATTATTATTATTATATGTGAACAAAATCTATTGCTGGATCCAGAGAACAAAGACGAGGGCAAGTTTGCAGGGCTATGGGGAGAGAGCGGGATTGATTTGAGTAGCTCTTTTCAAAGAGCCGGCACAGACACAATGGGCCGAATGGCCTCCTCCTGTGCTGTATAATTCTATGATTCTATGAATGATTCTATGATTAATTGTTACTGTGATCAGGTTAACAGAGTAGGAAATGGAAGCGCAATCTTTTATCAGAACTAAAGGCACAACTACACTTGTACTGACAATGTCTGTTGGATCCAGTGTAGTTACATATTAACCAATTTATGGTGCAGTCATTTCAAATTGCACAACAGTAACTCTACTGCAAAAGTAGCATTGAACACAGATTGCCCATTTACACTGCCCTCTGGTCTCATTTGCTCATCAGGGAGTCTGCATCTGTCAATTCTATTGTTGCAACACAAAGTATATTGACTTTTCATAAAAATAAATTCCTGCACCAAATACTGATCATCAGTAAGGGGGGGGCTGTAAAATGAAATGATTAATGGCCGACCTTGAAGGAGATAGATTATGCGGCTTGTAATTTTAAATCTAAGAGCTGTCACTCCAATGCATTGTAGGCTTGTGCTGCATTGTTGGAGGTTTGTTGACCTTTGGTTGAAATGTGAAAGCGAGGTCCTACGCTTGTCTTTTCAAGTGGATTATGAAGATCTCACAACACCATTTTAAACAAAAAGGGCATTTCTTCCGGTGTCCAGAAGAAAAACAATCCTTCAGATAACAATAATCCTTGCGTTTAATATGGTGCCTTTCACATCAAGAGGACGTCTCAGAATGGAATCACTGCAAAGTGAAGTTACTATGTGTTTTTTNGTAGGCAAATACTGCAGTCAATCTGCACACAGTGACGCCCCCCAAAATAGCCATAAATTGAATGACCAATTATCTGAGGGATAGTTGGCCAGGGCACTGGGAAAAACTCCAGTTTAATGTACCATCCAAAGGATGGATTTTTCACATTAGGGTACAGCTTTTACAATGGTTACTCTGCAGTGTCAGCACACAGAGCCACAGCACGAGGAGGCGCTCTCAATCTCTGGATTTGCATTGATTCACTATGTACTTCAATGACAGAGCAGGCACCTTGGAGTAACCCATTCACTGGGATGCTACCAGATATGAGACAATATAATATAAAGACATGCTGGCTAAATTGAGTATTTACTACTGAAGCAGAGGAGATTGAGATAGGCATATGATAGAGATGTTCAAAGTGAAGAGGGTGACAAAGAAGAGGGAAAAGCTAATTCCTATAATTGAGCAATCAGTGACAAGAGAGCATAATCTCAGGATAGTTTGTGAGAGAATCAGGAGTGAGATTAGAAGGGATTTCTTCACTTAGAAGCCTGTCGGGAGTGTGAAGTTTATTTCCACAGGTAACTATTGAGAAACTCAAAAGGTCATTCAGAAGGGAACCAAACAGGAGCCTGAACAGCAAAAAAAATTGCATGTCAAGGATTTCCACTTTTTTTTTTACACAAACATTTGCGGATGTGGAAAACAATCAGAAAGTAGAGTTAATAATAGGAATTTAGGAACGGGAGTCGGTCATTTGGTCCATCAAGCCTGTCCCACCACTTTCGAAGATTCAATTCCACAATAAAGCACAACAGAAAAAAAAGATAGTGGCACAGATGTGATGGGCCAAAACAACTCTCTTCTGGGCTGAAGATGTCCAACTCAAGCTGCAGAAGGTACCTATTGCCCAAGCCTGTCTTTGCAGGTGAGAAGCTTGTTGTGAGAGAGCATATTGAGTATCAAGTGCCAACACCTCCAGTCCACAAATATACCAAGCCCAGTATAATGGTAATAGCCAGCTAAACTGAGATTTGGGAAAGCTTCAGCATAGCAATTGACCTTTGAAACAGACGTACTTGTTCAGGCAAACAAACGCAAATATTATCTATGCTAGAAAGAAGGTGGGGGGGAGGTGAAAGCAAAGTCATACGCTGCTGTTGTTTCTTCCATGCTGCACTCAAACACACAGCATTGCTTCACGCTATAAATCATCCATGGACCAAAACAGCCAGGTACCTTGCTGGAAGAAATGGCTTCCAGCCAACTGCATGATACGGATGGTCAGCATTGCCAAATAACATAACTTCTTATTTTCCTTTAAATATTAACCAGAGGCTTGTTTAGTAGTGAAACGTATATTACAGTTGCTTTTCAATCCAATGCCCTTGTAAGTTGTCTCCAAACACTACCTCATTTGTATTAACCATGGTTTTCGGAGCTGCCAAATGCGTCAAAACATGCCTCACCATGTTCTTTTTCCTCCTTCCTGCATTTGGCTTACAAAACATGACAGTTCCTCAGCAAGTTGCTACATATCAACACCCCCATCCCTAAATAAAACTGATTATTCACTGTATGGTTGTTTACGGAACATTGCTTCGTGTAAAATAATAATAATCATAATAAGGTCACTTAATCCACGACTGTTTACGGACACTAGTGTTTGTAATTGGCTGCCGAATTTTGCTGCATTTTGCCCACAAAATATGGAGTCAATTCACTTTACACTATATTCTGTGAAGAGCTTTGAGACGTCTAGAAGATATGATAAGGCGCTATATCAAATGCACTGGAGTATCAGCTTAACTATTTAATTCACGTCCCGACATGGGACCTGAACCCACAACCTTCTGACTCAGAGGCAAGACTGACACAAAAGTTGCTTCTTTTCTAGGAAACTTAAAGCAAGCCACCAGAGGCCTGAAGTACCATCGTGTTAACCTATGAGATCATATTGTTTTAATATTTAAGATTGTGCAGAATTGTGGAAAATTCTTAAATTCAATCTTAATTGGGAAGCCAGCTCTTTGTAGTTATTAAAATAAAGACTTGCCTTCAAATTCAGCTTGCAATTTAAGAATTTTCCACAATTGTTATAATGGCAACTCCAGCTACAGAAGGTACCCATTGCCCAAACCTGGCCAACTATCCCTTAGATACTTGGTCATTCACTTTATTCACTGTAAAGTAAATTGACTGTATATTTGTGGGCGAATCGCAGCAGACAATTGCGCACAGCAGTATCCCACAAAAAGTCATGGATTGAGTGACCACATCATTATTATTTTTTTGAGGGATTATTATCCCCGGAAAAGTGATCCACCAATCGACTAACACCCGGGTTCTTACTTACAGCTAGGTAAACAGGTTTGTGGAGTAAGGAAACTTGCCAATATTTTGCCCCGGTGGGAATAGAACCCAGGTCTGTCGCTTACAAGGTGATTGCTCTAACCACTGAGCTACAAGACAGGTATAGCACCTTTTACATCGGAGTGATGTCTTGAAGTGCTTCACAGAATATAGTGTAAAGTGCAGTGACTGCGTGTAATGGTACAGGCTGGCATTTTTTAGGGTGTTTTCCCCTTGCTTAGCAAATCACAGCAGCATTGCTCAGCACATTGGCATTGATATGGTTGCAATGAACCTCAATCTCACTGTATCCATCAGTCACGAGCTCAGGCTGTAAACTATTACAGCAAACACCCCAATGCTACTATTTCTTCTAAAGAATAGATGTTAGCCTCCGAGTGTTAACCCTTTTGTAACCGGAAACATGGCGGTAACTAGAGAACATTAGCCAAGCACAAATCAGATGTATTGCATTCTTTCAGTCACACTTCTGTAACCACAAGGTAAACCTAATTTACTTCAGTACATTAGGAAGATAGTTCAAGGATATTTGTAGGGTTGAAATTAAGGGTAGGATTGTGTTCATACATCTCTCATCAGCAAAGAGACAAGAATGGTAACAGCTCAATGCTTCTAAACAGGCGATCCAACTCCTCCCTCCATAGGCTGCAGCCCATGTCCTCTCCCGCACCAGGCTTTGTGACCCTATGATCCCTTTCCTCGTCCGACTCCTCTGGTTTCCCATCACATAGAGGATACAGTTCAAGATCCTGGTCCTCACCTTCAAAGCCCTACATGGTCTTGCTCCCCCCTACTTCCTTGTTAAATCATGAAGAACCATCATAAGAAAACATTACCTGCTCAGCAAACCCGAGCACCTCTCTAGCCTGCTGAACGTCCCTATCCCCTTTGCAACAGTCATTTCTCTCTAATAGTCATTTCCCTCCCTGCCTCTATCACTCTGCCCTCAGGCAGTGGCAGCTCTCCATAAGAGCTATCTGTTTAGTCCCACTTCCCTGCCTTTCCCCCAATACCCTTTTGTATCTATACAACTTAGTTCAATTGTTTGTACAATTTTATTATTGGGGGTAGTGAGGAAAGAGATACTTTAAAATGAAATAAAATTCCTGACAGAACTGTCCTTCAAATCTCCATCATAGCTGTTCTATTCCTGTAAATTTGCCAAAAGTTGAAGTTAATCATTCAATATGACTCCACATAAACCAACTAAAACCAGCCAGTTAACAATACGTCCAATAAATTAAACATGCCATGCATCAGTTCACTCTATAAAGAAAAGTGTTTTAAAAAAANTATCAGAGTGTGTTTTCTTTCCAGCAGAATGTGAAAATGCTCTTTGTTGAGTGCATCAATTTTACCTTTACACAATACTGGAGGATTTGGCTTCATCTGGATCATCTTTGTCAAGAGAAATCAATACTAACCTTTAGCAGATGCTAATCTGCCCTCCAGAGAGACATTTTGCTTCACAATGCAAGTGCCATTACAGACAGAAATCAATGTGCTATGTCAATTTGTATAATTAAAGAAAAAGATATGGAGATACTCATAGGCTTAATGAATTCAATGTGCATTTTACCCATTTTCTCCAAGAAGCTTAAAAGAAGCTTGTTCAACGCTTCTTTTCCCCACAACTGCAAACCCCGGACTTCTATACACACAGGTTTGTGACAGACAACCTGTGTAGTTCAATCGGTTGAGTTTTGGGCTTGGAGCAAGAAGGTTCTGGGTTTGAATCCCATCAGGTCTAGGCTCCCCTTCACTCTTTCTTCTTGGAAATGAGGTAAGCAGGTTCCCTGAAAGTTGTACTAATTCTGAGGGACAAATATAGTTGACTAACTTGTTTGATTTGGAGGTGTAGATATGTCCTCAAGCCTAAAAAGGGTAGGACGGTCTGGAGTTGTTTTAGTCCGCCGGATTTTTTTTTCCACGTGCGATAACCTAGCACCATGCTAAAGAGTATCCAAACCAAGCAGAATTCCACGTATGCCACGTACACACAAAATTCCCATGTCTATAAAGGAATAGACACTCTCTCCCTGGAGGGACATACCCTGCTAACTAGATTCTACAGAGTAATAAGTGCAGACCAAAGATTGGGGATAACAAAATGTTTGCTGGGTTGCTGTGGAGTTTAATTAACAACAACAACTTGGATTTTGGATTTATATAGCGTCCTCCATGCCGGATGATGTCTCAGTGCGGTTAGCAAGTAAAACGGCACAGCTTACCGTTGAAAGAACCATCTGGCAAGTTTCCCGCTGCTTCTCCAGCTGGGACCACTCAATCCATTAGAGCTTCCATTTATGGGTTAACAGGAATGGTGGGAAGAAAACCTGCCCCCAGTGACTGATCTGTCCATCTAAGTTGTGGCAATAAGCCAAGCTAGTTGGTCTGCCATCAACAGTGTTGGTAGTACTATGGACCCACCTGGCTCATGAATTGGACTATCATCACAGAGGGTTGACTCAATTCTGATATTTCACCCCCACCATCCCCAAGGAATCCTAGTTGGGTGGGTGTGATTAAGCTAATCAGTGATTTGAATGGGTAAGCTGTGTGTTTACTAGACATTGTTCAAGTCACAGCATGGAAATAAACTTGGACAAGGAGTTGCTGAGCCAGCGATGAGCTGTCATGGGATTTTAGCAATTGCTCAAGGAGAATGTTGAGCTTTCTATTCAGATGATAGTATTTGCTTACTCCAGTCAAAAAGCCACAGCATAATTTTTCATGAATGGGCAAGCAATTTCTTGTTGAAATATCACAAAAAAATCAAGAGGACTCTCAGCCTGAAAAATAATACTGACAAAGAATTTTAGAACCCTATTTGAAAAAGAGCAGTTTTCTGATCTCATGTTACTATAGATATATTTGGTGGTGAGGTTAAGTGAGCGGTACACACCATGTCACATTTTCCAGCTATCGCCTCCAGTCACAGCCCAAGTACTGTATGTCTACTTCAGTGTGAACTCATTGAAAAGAATGCAGTCCTTTCATTATTTTCTCTGAATAATATAATAGTGCATTTTTTGTCCTTATAAAAACCTTGGATGTTATGGTCTGTTGAAGGGGGAGAGGGAAATAAATTAAAAAGACATCAAGTCTCTTCCCACCCTCTCCCCTCCCTGATGCCAACCCCTCCCAGATCCCAACCACCCCCATCCCTCGCCCCCACTATAAATCATTATAAAATCAATAGGATGGCTGGATTACTGGTGTGATCAGACAGACACAGGGAAAACAGGATCTATTTTGCCATATCCCTTAATACCTCAACGAACACTACTATCTGTCTATCGCTCCTTTAAACATTTGGGATGTCAAATCAGGAATGCATATTGAAAAAAACACTGAATGACTGAAGCATCAATGAAATTAGGACTTCAAAACCAATGGCATGTACACTTCTTGTGATATCCAGGTACTGTGACAAAATGGAAAGATGCATTTTCTTCCACCACTAAGTGGAACAAGAGCTTATTTATAAGATTCATCATGCTTTAGCTATCATTGTTTGTGGATCTTAGCTGAGGCTTCATATGGAGCGCTATTATTATCTGTCAGTGTCCCCGGGCTTGGGAAGGATAGAAAATCATCTTGTGTTCCTAATCACCGTGGAGTCCTATAGCTTAGTGGTTAGAGCATTCGCCTCGCAAGCGAGAGAACCTGGGTTCAATTCCCAGGCGTGGCGAAACATTGGGCAAGTTTCCTTACTCCACATGCCTGTTTACCTAGCAGTAAGTAGGAACCCAGTTGTTTGTCGATTGGCAGATCGCTTTTCCGGGAATAATAATCCCTTCAAAATTAAATAAATAAAATAATAATACTTTGGTCACTCAATCCATGACTGTTTGTGAAACACTGCTGTGCGCAAATGGCTGCCGTGTTTCGCCTCCAAAATATACAGATAATTCACTTTCCAATATATTCTGTGAAGCACTTTGATATATCTGAAAGATGTGATAAGACGTTATATCAAATGCAAGGATTATTATTACTATCCAGTGACACATGCTCAACAAATGCCACTGTCATGGCATAACTCTTAAGACAATAAGATCACAAGGGGAGATGTGGATGAAGAAAAACCCTGACCCTATTTTGATCTCATGTTCCAGAACTTCCATCTTAGTCTTTTAAATAACAACTTGGGCAAGGTACCAGAGGGCTTTTCATTACCATAGAAATTTACTGCATAGAATAAGTCTATTCGGTCCATTGTATCTGCACTGGCTTTTTTTTATTTAAAGAGCAATCCTTTCAGTCCCATTTACCTGCTCTTTCCCGATACCCCTGCAGCTTATTCCTTTTTATACCATCTGTCTGTGTGTGGAATTAAACCCAATTGTGGAATCTCAGGAAAGAAGGGAAAAACATGAAATATACTTAACGTACCTCATTGACGCAGTATCTAGCAGAACTGTTGTAAAAATGGTGGAGACCTTTTGAAAGCCCTTTGTTGTAACAGCTGTCAATAAATTGTCTGAAGAAGTCATTGATGGAGTTTATGGCAAATGCACAGACAGCTGATTGGTTGGTGGGTTCAGAAGAGCCCGGCTTGCTTTTTGCAAATACTGCAAAGAGCACATCCTCCTCAACAGAAATTCTCATCTGGTTGGCAAAATCGGCCCCCGGTTTAGTTACGTACGCTGCCTGCAATATGTTGAAAATTTCTATGTTGGCTGATCTCTTTTTCCGCTTCTCACTGATGATGCATTCAAGTGGCATTTCCAGATAAGAATATAAGTAAGGATCTGACGAACATATTCGGATAATCTTGGTGTGAAAAAGGGGAGAACCCAATGATTCATGTTGCACTGTCAAGAAGTAAACGTAGGCACCGCTTTCAAAGGCGTAAAGGTATTTGATCGGGTAGCCATCCCTGTGCTTTGGAAGGATGTCCAAAAATGAACGGTCAGAGAGCAACTGAAAGCCATCTTCTGATTCCTTTAGTCTTTTAATGGATAGCGAATGTTGAATGAAAACTTGCGGAGCAGAGCTCAGCGTCGTTCCAACAAATAATTTCACAAATCCATCTTTTCTTGTCATCAACACTCTGGTTCCCAATGGACTTGCAATACAGTCGGGGCACTGATTAGGCTCCTGGTTGGCAGATGGTGAGTAAAGACAATGGGGGTCTTCTAAAATACCTGAAGAACTTCCTTGCTGGATGTTGTGGAGGTGGCATACTCCGTTTCTTGCGCTGCCACAACTGATGAGTTGATCCCCATAGAAAGTCTCGATGAGCAAGACAATGTTTGAGTTATCCTTCCAGACACTGTTGGAAACGTTTGCTTTTGCTTCACAGTTGTCACATGGTAAACAGCTTGGTGATTCCAACACAGGGCCAGTCTTGAACTCCGAGAGCATCTCCAGGTTGCTATTCAAGGCATAGATTTTATTTACTGCACCCAAGTAAATAATCTGATTGTGGAGAACCACATTCTGTATCACTGTTCCTGTGCTGAAGTTGGGGAAGTTATATTTCATGTCCAAGTTAAAGTCTATGTTTTTTTGGGCCTCTTCACACTTGCCATGGCTGAGCTGCACAGCCAGACTTCCGAAGAGCATCAGAAACCAACAAACTCTTGCTGGATGCGTCATTGTAGAAAGGACTCGTATCAGCTGCAACCAAACAGAATATTGTGGGTCAAATAAATAGAAAACAACTCATGGGAAGCATGAACTTGCATTTCTATAAACACTTTGAAATGTCTCAAAGCTTTTCGGAGGTGATTACAAGTGACTATTTACAGGTAAGCGGGGTCTCCTTGGAGCTGGCTCTAAGGTAACATGTTTAGTAATGGAATGTCGGAATTGAGCCTGTTCTCTGTGGCGGTCTCGGTATTCCGGTTCCTGAGCCAGGTGGGTCCGCAGTATTCCAGCGCACTGCTGATGACAGCACAGGCAGCCTGGCTTATCAACAGGACCTGGAAGGGCAGACCGGTTACTGGGGCAGGGAGTCATCCCACTCAGCTCCTGTTAATCCTGAAGTTAAAGCCCTCACAGGTAGGGTGGTCCTAGTTGCACATGCAGCAGGAAAACTTTCCAGACAGCAATATCAATGGCAAGCTATGCGGTTTTAGCTGGTTGGCTCCAGCAGGACCCCAATACACACTCTGGGGTCCCCAGGGAGAGAGTGGGCATTCCATTTCAACCATCTATCTCTGGAATTTTACATGTATAGGTGGGATACATGGAAATCTCAGTTTGGTTTGGAGACTCTTAAGCACGTGATGGGTTTCCGCTGACCAAACATATTTTAAAAAATAATTATCTACACTGCCAAGATACTGCTGCATGAGGTGAATGATCAATTAATCTGGAGAATTATTGGCTAGAGAAACTCTCTCCTTTTTTTTTGAATGGGATCTTCAATGCAAACCTGAAAAGAGGCAGATGTGACCTTAGTTTACCATCTTTACTCACTCTAAGGTCAGCCTAAACTGGGCCTGAACATGCATCTTTTTAAAATCAGAGATAATAATATGGGAAACTGAGCCAAGCTGGCACAAACATGGTTTGAAATCAATGAAGGAATAAGATGTTTCTGGGTACTTGTACAGCAAGTTAATTCCACAGATAGTTTTCCTTCTTGTAGATTTGAACAACAAGGAATTCCACACTGTTCCAGAGCTGAGGTTCTACTCGCATAACTGGCTCCCTGTGCTCCCACCTTGATATAAATAATCCTTGCATCTGATATAACGCTTTATCAAGTTATTGAGACCTTTCAAAGGGCTTCACAAGAATTTTACTGTGAAGTGGAGTGGCTGTGTATTTGTAGATGAAAGTGGCAGCCCAATTGCACACAACAATGCCCCACAAACAGTCCATGACCAATTTTATTTGGGAGATCGTTCTTGAAGGATGAGATTGGATGAGTTGAAGGGCCTTGTTCATCCAAACCAATCTTGGGATAATAGCACACCAGACTTTCCCAAACAAATATGAAATGGGAGTGAAATTAACAAGAATTCCACTACAATTATAAAACATGCGCGGTATCTGAAATGAAGTTAATGATTAACTGCTCTTTTTTATATAACTGGATACCTCAGAATCAGGAATGGAGTGATCCAGTTGACAGATCACTGATGTGTAGAGCAGTGCAATGGCGTGGTGAGTTTTGTTTCAAAATGAGCTCTTTTTTGGAGTGAGAAATAGCTGAGCATTTGCTTTATCTTGTGATTCATGAACCGAGGTCAGTGATAGTTGACTGTAGTGCTGTTTATGCACCTTATCCAATTTCTAAATAAAACAGTATTTTTAAAAAATCAATTCCAATAAATTGGAGATAAAAGCGAGTACAACAACTTACATTTATGTAACTCTCTTCACTTGGGATAGTATCTTGTTTCACCCACAAAGTATACAGTCAAATTCACTTTACAGTATATTCTGCGAAGCTCTTTGAGACATTTCAAAGATATAAGGCACTATATCAAATGCAAAGATTATTATCTCTTTTCGGGAACGTTTAAAACATGTTTCAGGACTAAATTGCATTTAACCTATATTATTTAACCATTTTGTCTAACAATTTAAGATGGCACGGTATTGTGGAAGACGTCCTCCCGACGTAAAAGGCGCTATACAAATGTAATTTTGTTGTTGTTGAAGCTCAAATATCCTGCACATATTGCAAATCATTCGCTGATCACAATTTAAAGAATATGTAGAATTTGTGTACCAAATGAAAAAAAAAGCACCAGCCCTGTTTTGATAGTCAGATTCAGGAATTTACACAGAATCATTGTTGCTTTTACAACACAAAAACTGTAATGGTACAAGAACAACAATAATTTTATATTTATATAGCGCCTTTCACATCAGGAGGACTTCTCAAAGCGCTTCACACAGCTGCTATACAAATGTAATTTTGTTGTTGTTTCCTGGGTGCCCAAGGAGGGGAGAGCTGAGGAAGAAGGGAGGGAAAGATGACTAAAACAGAGAAAATCCCTATACAAAAGAGTTAATGCATTTCTGCTTATCTAGTGGTACGGTAATACTAGGTGCGAAGTTCATTACAGATGATTTTCATAAGAGGACACCAACCAATTTCCTTGCAACACAATTTCTTTTGCGTGGTATCAATCACATAATGATACATATTTCATCTCTCAGCTCACTCACACAATGATGTAGTCAACAGAACTGGATCTACATACTTGCTGTGCTTCTAAGTATGACTGATGTGGTTTATTTTCATCGAGTACCTATCCAAACTATGCTTTCACTACTCACAGCCATTTCCCCAAGGAACTAGTCAGTGGCTTTTGCGGATTTTTTTCTCAAAACCACTGCAAACACAGCCAACTACCTCTTGCAAAGCAACGCTATCTGTGCTTCAAATCATACAATACTATTAGTTCCAATTGTTATAAAGTTTAACTCAGCTTCTTGGCAAATCAACTAATTTCACTAACCTGCCTACAGATTTAGATCACAACCATTTAGAAAAGACTGTTCCCCCATAGAAATGGACTGAAGGCTTTCAATTAACTTATTGACAGAGGGAACTATACAGTTGAATCCAGTTAAAAACACTTGAAATGATAATCTACTTTAACCAAATGCTCCTAACAGCTTCACTTCTAAATGTTAATGTCTTTTTGTTGGTCATATATTGTGAAAGCTGAGTGTACCTTTCCAGCACTCAGTCAAGAACAAAGGTAAGAGAACGTAGAGTGGCAATGGACATAAATCACATAAATGTGGTAATTTCTGCAGGTTTATATTACCATTGGAACATTAGGCTCCACAACACAAAAGGGGAGCAAAAGGTGGGCAGAAAAAAAACATACATAAACCTACAATACACTTAGAAACCTATCCTCAGCACAGGACAATGGTGCCTCGACTGGAGAGAGGGAAACAAGAACAGGAGGAGGTCATTCAACCCAATGAGCCCGTTCTTCTAGTTTATTGGAACCTGGCAGATCTATTACACCCATTTTTCTCCTTTTATCCTTATCCATATACTTTTATTCCCAAATTTCTATCTTTATCAGGGCGAAACATTGGGCAAGTTTCTACTCCACACGACCTAGCAGAAAATAGGAACCCGGTTGTTAGTTGATAGGCAAATCACTTTTCCGGGGTAAATATCTCTTCAAAAAAAAAAAAAATTTGTTCACTCGATCCACGAATGTTTGTGGGAAACTGCTGTGCACAATTGACTTCCGCATTTCGCCCACAAAATACACAGATCAATTCACTTTACAGTACATTCTGTGAAGAGCTTTGGGACATCTTGATTATTGGTTATTTCCTCCACCCCCACCTCTTGACTCCCATCCGTGGCTTAGCTGCCCAGCCAGCAGCTTCAAGTTTTTGGCTTATCATCCTGACTTGAAATGCATTAGACAAGTTTAAAGTGTACTGTATTGCATCTCTCATTTAAGCGTCCCAATTGATTCTGCCTTTAAGACCTTCTCAGGTATTGTATTCACATCTCCTATGTGTGAGTAAATGGTTTCTGTTCTCACTACAAAACGGTTTACACATGAAGGTGCGTCCAATGTGATGAGGCTGTTTCTATCAGTGACTTATAGCTTCTTTCTTCCATTATATTGGAAGTCAATGTGTAACAAACTCTGCATGATCCCACTGATGGGAACCTTTGAAAAACTGTACTATTTTACACTGAATTGTAACCTGAAGTGATGGTGCCCTGGAAGGGTCTGATTCTACAGCAATCGATAGCTTAACTGAAATTGCAGTTTCAGTGCTTTTGGACATATGGATTTTCAAGTCACTGCTAATCCAGTAAGAAGCAAAAACAGTGTGGCAATTATTCGTGATTCAATAATCAGGAATAAAATTCAACCACTATAAGGAGCCCGATCTGTGCAGTCTCTCCACACGCTCGCTCCTATGAGCTGCAAATCTTGATAAATTTAAATCCTCCTGTCAATTACAGTATTTAGAACAAATCTACTGTGATTGATCAGTTTATGTTGCTGATGCTTCCTTCAACGTGAAGAGTAAATAAAATTTCCTAATTAAATTTTAGTGATATCTGCTTATGAATAGAAGGGTTTCTCTATTTTACATGGACGATTGTAAGTCTCTTCTTGTCCCTCAGTTTGGGGTTGTGCTTGGTTAAGGGGTATGGAATAGAAGAGATGCTCATGCAGTAGAGTAGATCATTGGATAGAACCATTACATTGATATGTATGAGCGTGGATTCACTGTGGATAGTACTGTACTGATATACTTACCTATTTTTTGATACTGATCAATCAGCTTCCCAGGTTAAAAATGTCTGCCTCAGGTTGTTGCTGACGTCACTTCCCATGTGCAACATAAATGCATGCCGTGCCCTGGAAGTGTTGTTGATAAGACTTCCCCTCCCCACACCCTCCGCCCCTCCATGCAAGGTTGAAATAAGTTATTTGTGACTAAAGGTTCCCGAAAGAAACAAATCCTCCTTGTATCAAATCACTTTGTATCAGACATGAAAACATTCCTCTGTGCAATCATGTGCTGTGACAGATCAGTGCACAAATGTGAATTCTTGTGATCCTCTCACAAAAGTTGCTATCAGTATTACAATCGAAGGCAAATTGTTGTGAAAAATTTACAGTTACAACTGCCAGGTCTAGTTCTAAAGGCTGCAT